GCTTTTCATCTGTCCATATTGTCGGAAGTTTGACTTCTAAATTTCCTTCGATAAAGTACATGTGGTGTATGTATATATGTGGACCGGTTGATGGGAAAATCTACAGAAAACAATGTTATTTTCCCATGAACTGTTGGGTTTTCCTGTAAAATGTCCCTTAAACAAATCCAATATATATATATACAGCACTTTTGGGTTGACCATAGCACATATCGCAGAATATTGAATGGGTGAAAACTAATGTAACATATTGCAAAACAATTTGCACATATATATTTTTAAAGATACATTATATATATATATAATATATATACATATATCTATATTTACTATATATATATGCATATGTATATATATATATATGCATATATAAATGTATATTTGCATTTATCACGAAAGGTAGCTCCAGAGGGGCTACCTTGAGTTCTGCTTTACGAAGTAAAGGGGAGGGCGGCCAGCCCCGTTACCTGATTCTTCAGGAGATTGCTAGTCATTTTAGTAACCCCCCCCCCCCCTTCCACACCTCCCACGCACCCTAAGAGCAGACTCAAAACATTGTAATTTACAGTATTTTTGTTCTTTTCGGATCAAGAAACCACATTTTGCTACATGGTGAAACCTCCGTAAATACCAATGTTTTTGCTAGGTGCTGGCCAAAAAACACTGTAAATACCGTGCTTTTTACTACCAGAGGCAAAAAACATCGTAAATCCTGTGGTTTTGGGCTTCCGACCCGCCAAAAACATCGGTATTTACGGTGTTTTTTGCTCCGAGAGTTGCAAAAACACGCGAAAACACCACCGATTTGACGATTTTCGGCCACTACGGAACCGAGCAAAAACGCTGCAGGGGTAACACCAACACCAACACCAACAACAACAACAACACCAACAGCAAAAGCAACAGCAACAACAACAACGACGACAACAACAACAACAACACCAACAACACCAACACACAACGCACAATGCACAACGCACAACGCACAACGCACAACACACAACACACAAAACACACAACACACACACAACACACACAACACACACAACACACACACAACAACACACAACAACACACAACAACACACACACAACCACACACAACAACACACACACACACACAACAACACACAACAACACACCACAACACACAACAACACACAACAACACACAACAACACACAACAACACACAACAACACACAACAACACACAACAACACACAACATCACACAACAACACACAACAACACACAACAACACACAACAACACACAACAACACACAACAACACACAACAACACACAACAACACACAACAACACACAACAACACACAACAACACACAACAACACACGCACACAACAACACACAACAACACACCACAACACACAACAACACACAACAACACACACAACAACACACAACAACACACAACAACACACAACAACACACAACAACACACAACAACACACACAACAACACAAACAACACACAACAACACACACAACACACCACAACACACACAAGAACACACAAGAACAACAACACACAACACCACAACACACCACAACACACAACAACACACAACAACACACAACAACACACAACAACACACAACAACACACAACAACACACAACAACACACAACAACACACAACAAAACACAACAACACACAACAACACACAACAACACACAACAACACACAACAACACACAACAACACACAACAACACACAACAACACACAACAACAACAACAACAACAACACGAACACGAACAATACCAACACCAACAACACGACCAACAACACCAACACCACCAACAAACCCAACCACACCAACAACACTAACAACACTAACAACACCAGAAACACTACCACCACCAACAACACCAACAACACCAATACCAATAACACCAACAACACCAACGCCACCAGCACCACCAACACCACCAACACCACAACCACCACCAACCCCAACCACATCGCCGAAGCCTTTCAGTCGCTTTTACCAGACTCCCCTTCATATTTTTGGAAAGAAAATGGCCGCGTCGCTTTTCCCAGACTCCACTTTATGTATTTTTCCCTCCCCTCTCCCCTTCATTTTTTCTTCGGTTCCTTTCTTGCTTACCTACCTTTCGTGTTCCCCCTCTCAAGTATGAATATATACATATGTACATGTATATATGCATGTGTATATACATATACATACATGTATATATGCATATATATATATATATACACGTGTATATATATATATATGCATATATATATATGCATATATATATATATATACATGCATGTATGTATATATATATACATACACATATATATATATATGTTGGTCAGGGGGTTTGTTCATCAGAGGTGAGAAAGCATCAACGGCATTAGTCGCTACAATAATGTTTTTTTTGAATTACCACTTTGCCAACTACTTTAAATTACTGTTAGTGTGGGGAATACGCCCTTGTTGGGCATACAAATATCCACCATTTGTAGATCATTTCGAGATAGGAAAACGATGGATTTCCACCTGGAGGGGAAGTCCCAGTTTCCGTCGTTAAATCCCGAATTTCCCTCGTGAAACCAGCGTTTTTGAGAATTTTTAAAGTTTCCATATTTTTCATGGTCTTGCAATGTTTTGCCAACCATTTTGGATGGTCAATCTTCCATTTCTTCATGGTGAAATCGCCCTTTTTTTTTGGTCAAATCCCTGACTTCGCAGCTTCGGCTCTCCGCCATGTCCCTAAGCCGCCTCGGCTGCCGTTTTCGCGGCCCATGCCGGGGCGGCCGGGGCCCACGGCTGCGCTGGAGCCATGTGAGAGCCATAACCTACACACCCACCATGGTGTCCATGGAGGCATTGCGTGCAAGGCAGGGTTTTTGCCGATGGCATCCGGATGAACTTGGGATGCACTAAACTTAAGGATGAACCCGGGTTATATCTCAGGGTGTGGTGTGCCCATGTACATCCTGGGATCAAAGATTCGAACCTCGGCTCACGTTCATATAACTTGAATCATCCCCAGTTCCCGAGAGTCTATCAGTTCTTCGGACCTGAGGAGTGGGCAGACTTCCTTGTGTTGCAATTCTACATTTTGAAGAACAAAGAGTTAGTTATTACTGTGATTATTAGTGTTTATTATTGTATATTATTGTTATTTATGGGCATGTTTGAGCCACATGTATGTTGATTGGATATGATTGAATCATTATGTCACTGTAAGACAAATATTGAGCATTGATACGTGCTGTTCCCATTGTTCTGAAGGGCTCCGGGATGTGCAACCGGACCCATGGGAAGGGACCGGTGAGGCAACCAAAGGAGCTGCTGCAAACGGATGTCTTCAGGAGGGCCCGGAGGTTCAGGGCCAGAGAACCCAACATGTTTACTGTGCTCGGATGGTAATGTGGAGCTAGGATGGTAGGTAAGTTCTGTTGTGACCTCACTACCTCACTGTAATCTGATGAATCATGTACAAATATGATCAAATATGTATTGTAAATGTGAATCTTAGAGTCTTAGATCATCTTAGGGGGAATCCTTTAGTAAATCATATGTTATTATCCCTTGTTATCAATGATGAACAATTATTACCCATTAAATCACTATAAAATCCCATCAAATGTTAGTTTACCAGAGGGTAAATCCCGTAAATCCCCTTGTTTTTCTGGTATTTTGGCAGTGACATCGCCCCACCTTCGTCTTTCAGCCAGGACGGTGCCTCCGGAGGATCTGACACCCACGGACCTGGCGGACCTGGCGTCGGCCGAGGTGGCGACCAACCCGGCCAAGGCGAAGGGTGGGAGATGTTTGGATGAATACCCTCTGGTGAACTAACAAAACTGTTGAACATCACCATTTTGAAGAGGTAAAATATAGGTAAATCAACTAATTATGGATATATATATATATATATATATATATTTCTTTTTGGATGTTAATTTGATGTTAATTTTTACTGGCATTTATCCATTCTTGAGTGGTTTCTAATGTTTTTTTGTGGATTTATGGATTTTCATACAGAATCATTATCAGTGAAATGTACAGCTCGCCCTCAGCCTTAGCTGAACCTTCGGGATGGTGATGGAGAGAGGGAGAGGGAGAGAGAGAGAAAGAGAGAGAGAGAGAGAGAGTGAAATGTGTGCTGCTGAAGTTGTGTTTTATTACTGGAATGCTAAATGGGTATATTGGCATGACCTGAATTGGGTTTATGGTGTTGAAATGGAAATGGAAGTCCATCAATGTTATTAATGGTATTTGGATGGGGTAATCAGAAACATCATTTCAATGATGTTAATTAATAATGATATGTTTGGAGCATCGGAAAAATAAAGATGGAGACGGAAAGAGCCGACAACGATGTTAGATGTTTGTATCCACTGCAGGTTGCTCTCAATTGCACTCCGCTGATCTAACTGGCAATGGAAATAGCTTCTGATAATTGTGGATCATGTGCCTACTCAATTTCTGAGTTTACACTGTTATGTTACGAATCATGTTACATCACGTTACATGATCCGAAAGAATTTCCGGGAAGTTTTCAAAGCTGTGAAGTTGATCCCAAAACAGGTGGATAGACTTAGGATGATCTTCCAGTGGTGATAGACATATTCTAACTCCATATTCTTAACTCCATATTCTTCTATAATAGATCCAGATTATTGTAATGTCTTCCAGTGATGGCCAGATCCACATGATTTTGCCATTTTTCTCGGGCCTTTTGTCTCCATATTGTGGGAGAACCTTGTGATGTTTAGCTGCAAAGCTCTAAACGGATGCCCCGCTCAGGTGCTGGAGATTTACCGGCGGCATGTGATGAGCGGCGGCATGGATGCCACAGTGACAAGGTTGCGTTTCCAGCGTTGCATCAGGATTTTCCAGTACACAATCCCTTCGCCCAAGGTCCATCTGGAGGGCGCATTCAAGTAGACCTTCCCGAATTTTTTTTTCATGCACCCGAAACGAAGCCTGGTTTAGTATTGGCCCTGTTTCGTGTGGGTGTGTGCATTTCTGAGTCGTGCTAATTACAGTAGCTATAGCATATGGGGGAATTCAGAACCAACTCGGCAAATCTGGGTCCGGAGTGGTTTCATGATTTCCTCCAGAACCAGTTCAAACTCTGAGGTTTTCCAGGAACCAACAACAAGGGGGCAGTTCCATGCACTTCCATGTTGGAATGTCCATCTCAGATCATCTCAGCAGCATTCAACTCCTGTTGATATTTCTTTCGGTGGCTATATGCCCTCTGGAAGCTTAGCTGCTTAACGTAGCTATGGAAATTCATAGGTAAATCATCTATAGATAGGCAAGGTTTATCCATTTTCTGTATAGATGTGTTGAATGACCGGAGAGCACTATCAAATATGAATCACGGATTATCATCACATTATATATATATATATATCATCCATGAGCTGGGACCCCCGTTCCTAAGCAACCAGTATTTCACGGAATGTTTTTATTTGGGGTGGCTAAACCCATCCAACAATGTCTCTTGGACCTTATCAAGCCACTGGCTTTGCTGACCTTATCAAACCCAAACCTTGAAAGGGAGAATCTCCTCTGTTCGGAATGACGAAGGTCTTCATCCGAGCCTTTGCGCAGTTGGGCTTTCTCTTCGATCCCAACTGTTTCTTCAGTGCCGCGGATCGGCAGATCCTCACGCGGCACAAGCACTTCCGATGTCTGGCGCATGACCTTTGGAAGGCGGGAGAAGCGTGACCTTCCATGATTCCAAGACCTTCCAAGTTGGAGAATCCTAAGAACTTATGGGAAATTGAGTAACATGTGGATTTCGTTGCCGCCCTGAAAGCTTTCAGGTTTACCTTGTTGAGGCTGAGGAGTTGATGAACTCAATCCATAATACATAAATGGTGTGGATAACTATCTTGATAAGTTAGTGGATGATGTAGTTGCGAGGTCATTATCCTTTAGTATCCTTTATATATGGGGATATATAGGTTTGATGGGGAAAGAAAAAGATAGAAAAAGGATAAAAAGGGCTTCAGCAACCACGACAGCCGAAGGTGCGAGAGGATCTACCTGATGCTGTGGTGCCACTGCTGCTGCAACCCGTTGTGGAAGGGAAGCAACGGTGAAGTTGATGTGGTTATGGGCCAAAAGCCTGGTACTCTCGATACCATAAAATAGCCGGTTAATGGATGGGTGTTCCCCCAAATGTATCCAAATATTATCCCAGTAGGTTTTGACCCCTCCCCATGTGTGATTGATTAGGCTATTAGGGGAACACGTGCCCTGAAATTGAACAACCGCCTGATATTCAACGACTATTGAAAACGGCCTTTTTTCTTGGGACTGCACATGAGGGGGGAAGGGATTCAGCTGAAATCAATGGAGGGATCCCTTTGTGGAGGAACCGAAAGAAAAATCACAGGGAGAGAAGCGGCCTTTCAATTGATTTAAAATTATTTAGATAAATGCAATGGCAGTAACATAGTGGCATAGTGGTTTCAAATGGTTTCAAATCATGCTTACCAGTAGTACCCGCACAAGGCGGGGCGGAAGTTGCCTTAGGGATATACTATAAGACATTTCTAACCATGCTAAGTCATGTTATAAGCATTTCTGATGCCTGTTCCCTCATGTTCGATGCTGAGGTACTCCATGAATTGCTTGGACTACCGCTGCGCGCCACTACTGCCTCAACTGCTGGAAGTGACAAGACGTCATTTGGCGAGCCTTTGTCAGAATGGGTTAGAATGGTTGGGATATGGTCAGCGAGGACTCTGCCGAAGATGAGAGAGATCAGAATGATGTCTCGCTATACATTCCAGGTCATTGAGTCAGTAGCTACTCTATTACTGGCTGGTGGTTTGGAAATGTTTGGAACTTTTTTACTTTTCCATACATTGGGCATAATCATCCCATTTGATTTTCATATTTTTCAGAGGGGTAGTCAACCACCACCAGATTAGTTACTTGGTGTCTCGCATCCATCAGGATCGCCGACCTGGAGCCTTTACAGCTCTGGGTAAATCTTCTCGCTTTTTCTTTGGGCCTAAATGTGGGATGTCAGACCCAGCCGACCCAGTTTTAGTGGGCCCCTGGGCGTCCTGGGCTCAATTTGACCTCTTCATGGGTGTTTTTCCAGCTAGATTAAGGCACCGGAAGGGAATCTATCACCTAAAAATATGTGGTCTCTGGAGACGGAGTTTGCCCGAAATCCCTTTTTCCTTCGGGACGGTTTGGGGACGGTTAGCCAGGCTGGGTGTCCTGAAGATTTGAATAGCAACCTTTGGTAATTTAACGTTAGCAACTACTGAGAGATGGCCATGTGTTTAGTGGGATCATCCACAATTACTGGCCTTATATCCCTCATTTTCCATGGGATTTCCATGGTTAGCTTAAATTACCAGAGGGTAAACCTTTGAATTTGTATCACCCAGCGCAATTTTCTCGAAGGACTTGGCGGGTAGAAGCCTTAAGCTGCTCAGCTGTGACGTAGTGACCTCGGAGGGGCCTCAGTATCTACTGTAAATTGATGGTTATCATAGGTTTGTTTAGGTGAATTTTTATTTTCCCAATGGAAAATCCACCATTTGGGGAATCCACCATTTGGGGAATCTATCGTTAACATTGTTTAGTTTTTGGGAACCCCTTAAGCAAATCCAAGTTATAGAATGTTATAGAAAGGTAATGTTTGAACCTGCGGGACGACGTTAATATTGTTATTTTTTGGTAACCATCAATCAATCTACATGCTTGGGAATTATCATATTTGGCTACATCACCGGGCATCATCAATCCTTTAAGTTACATAGCTGGCAGCTTCACCCCTGAAAAGATTGACGCGTAATTTACCATGATTTCAGCAGGATCATGAGCCCCAATTCCATCATGTATCCATTGAGATCCGGTGTTATGATGTATTGTTTGCTTGGTGGTTTGGAACATGAATTTTATTGTTCCATATATTGGGAAGAATAATCCCAACTGACTTTCATATTTTTCAGAGGGGTTCAAACCACCAACCAGTTGTGCATTATTAGTTTTATTACTATGTTATTATTACTATCCATGTAACAAAAACGGGTTTGGCTGACAATAGACTACCCTCAATTTTGATGATGTCATTCACCATCGTCGCGTTTGGAGTCATTGGCCACTTGGAGGGCATGCCCAATTTTCAAACAACCCCCATCTATTATGGCTGATCATTGTTCTTATTATGAATATGGTAGTTTTATGTAGTTATATAATATTATCCATTATCTTAATTATCTTCATACTTGTTGTCATTACTATCCATTGAACATATCAATACAGCATCTATGATTGTCCACATCTCAATCACCATCTCACATTAACCAACCATGCCTGGGGTTATCCATCCCCAACAGTTCACTTTTAGACTCTTAGAATAGCAGTGTTATTGTTAGATTGAGTGTCCATTACTATTGTTATTATTAGCCATGAAACAGATGAATTTAACGCATTAATCATCATCCTATGAACATTATTCCCTATTCTTGTTCTAGTTATTGTTATCAATATGGTCATTGTCATTATCATTTATCTTTGCACCGTCCCATTAACCAACCATGAACCAACCACTAAAAGCATCATGCTGGTCATGTTTGTTTTCACATCCGGTAAACCAATTAACATCCATTGCTATTAAAAAAATGACATTAACAGATCAATCAGCCGCACCACCATGCATTATGATTGTTGTTGCTATTGTTGTTGATATGATTAGTATAAGTATGGATTGTAAAATATCCATCAACATCATACCCATCGAGAACAGATCAACCAACCCATTCCTCGCATTATCATCATCTTAATGGACATTTCATGGATCATGTTACCATTACTATATATCACTATTCTTGTCTAGTATTGATTGTAACAGATCAATTAACCCCGTTTCACCATCCTTTATGATTATTGTTGTCATTATTGATAATTATCGTTACTTTAGTTATTATTAATCATTAATTATTATCAACGTATCAATCAACATATCAATTACCATATCTAACATATCAATCGAACAGATCCGTCAACCCATTACTCTCATTATCATGTGAAAGAATACTTACCGGATAATGTTACCATTACTATTCTTGTCTAATCAACCATCCTTTATGACTATTGTTGTCATTAACAGATCAATTAACCCCTCACTGCCAGGTTTGTTACTTCATTCCATCGCTTCCCTGGGCATCGGCGGCACTTCACCGCTGATCTTCGACGACGCCGCGGGGCATCGCAGCGGGGACTTCGCGGGGCTCACGGCGAAGCTGGCGCAGGCCGGTGCCCGACTGGAACCTGGGAAATTCCCTGCAAAAATGGGAAACTCATGGGACATTTATGGGGAAAATCCTTTTGAAGTGGCATTTAAAATTTAAACGAGAAATTCATCGATAAATGGGGAAAGTTCCCTTGGGGTGTTTAGCATTGTTTAGCAAAGCATGTTTCTATTCATTTGAGGGATCATCCGCTTGCACGTGCTACTGTAATCTACTGTATATAGTCCGTTAAAACCCTACATGTGTGCACGGATATCACAACTAGTAAAAAAACGCATATCTATATGTGTTTATAAATTATATATATATACGTATATTTATAGGTCCCATATATCCTCCGGTAATTGAACATAGCTATGGAACATGGCCCATCTAGTTCGATGATTGATTCAAAAAATGGTGCCTTTCCACTTTTCCGCAGTTATGTCAAACTATCTTCAAGACGACAGAAATCCATAATAATTCATCATCGTTCTCAGAAACATCCTTTAAAAGAACCACATAAACCCACATACAAGAATTCCATATGTTGTTTCACCTGTGGGAGAGGAAGTGCCTGCCCCCACCAACCAAGATACACCATGATATCACCATGATACTGTGGATGGTTGCGAAATCCGAATCACCAGCTGATAGGTGGTAAACATCCCATGATTTCGTTAGGGTTTCAACATGTTTCAACCATCCAAGCTTGGTGATTTATCGGATTTCGCTGGCCCATCCAAGCTTGGTATCGCAATTTAAAAACCATAGATATCTCAAAAAAGTATCCCATAGATACCCATTTTTCACCATGATACCATGATCCCAACTGCTTCAGGAGTTGGCCCTTCGTCCCTTCGAAGAGGACTCGGTTCAGGACTGGGCGCGGGCGGCCTTTGGGATGGTCATGGCGGAGGACTACGACGTGGAAGGGTCCCTGGGATCCCTGGGATCCCTGGGGTGCTGAGACACATGGTCGATATCATGCTTAGTAATACTTTATGTGTTATATATGTTCATTGTTAATATATGTTAATATGACATATATGTGTTATGTGTTGACTTATATTTTAATCTATTCGACGTGGTTGATATGTATATATATATATCTCTATGTTAATGGCACCCTCTGGTAAACAAACATTTTGCTATGCAAAATCACAATTTTTGATGGGTAAATCAACTATGACTGGCCATTTTCAATAGCTATGTTAAATTACCAGAGGTTAATATGATGTGTATATATATACATGTTAATGTGTGTTAACTTATATTTTAATGTATTAGTTTGGAATAGACATAGTGATTATGGTTGATTTAACGCTTACTGTAATCTAATGCTTAATATAGTGATTAATAATGGCCAATATAACGGTGGATATAATGGTTGATATAATGGTTATTACAATAGTTATTGATTGAATTACCCATACTGTATATATTTATAATGTGGGAAACCCAATGCCGTAATGGTTCATGGTTTATGGTTGATTTAATGGTTAATATAATGGTTAGAAATAGTTATTACTGGAATTAATATAGGAATGGGTGGTGTGTTTGGCAATGGTTAGTACTGTAACAGTTACTAATGGAATTACGCATAGATGTTGTTCTTGCAGTATCATGTGGGAGAATACCTTAGCAGGAATATAATCTGGGAAACCCTGGCTGCCATAAACCTACCATGAGTGGGGGATGGTTGAAAAAAACACCCACAAGGTGATGACCTGGGATTGTTTTTTTTGTTTTAAACGAATTGGGTTTACCACAGTAGGATCATGTAGAATAATATAGTTGGATTATACACATCATGAATATGGTATTTGATTCATATTGATTCGAAATGGTTTATACAATTGGTGAATGTCGTGTTTGATATGATGGTTAATCTAGTGGTTTATATATTGATTTTAGTGGTGGAATTACCCAGTTTGATGTTTTTCTCATTTTTTCTCTTAGGATTTTATATAACATTATATATATATAAATATATAGGATAATATGGCAGGGGGTTGTATAGGATAAAACAAAAAAGACGTCCGGTCCTTTGTGTTGTCAAAGGTGGCTGGCTGGAAACAACTAACTGGAGGTTTCTAGCCTGGGAAAATCATCAAACTAAATGGGCATTTAAATGAGAACCTCCTCTATACATGGGAGATGACAGGGGGGGTTCCATTGCCACGTTTAACTACTGGAGAGAATAGTCACCCAAAGAAAAAAATGAATTGAATTTGAAATTTCTTACTCTTGACAGATTCATTATAGATGCTGATGTAATTGCATAACCACACTGGTTTGTATGTATATATTTATATATTTATACATATATTTGTAGTTGTACATATTTCTATAACAACGAGGGACATATTTGTAGTAAGTAGGATTTTTGAACAACCAGAGGGACAAGTGACTAGCGAGATCATGTTGTGGGAGGTCGTTGGCGGGGTCAATCCTGGTACGGTAGGTTGTTTGCTGTTTTGCAACAAATATCCAGTGAAATGACATGATGAATCATGATGATCTTTGCCGGCTTGAACCCATATCAATAAATAAACAAATATATATATATGGAGGTTTCCTAAAGTGGGGGTACCCCCAGTTCTCATCCATTTACATTCATGGATATCCATGAAATATCATGATTTTTTTACCATCCAGCTATGAATGGGATACCATTTATATCCATTTATGGAAACCCAAGTCTTCATGGCGAGCGATCTGGAAACGACCTAGGCCCGAGGGACACGTCCTGCCCTTGCTGGTGGCACGTGCCTGTGAGCTCTTACCGCATCTTGACGTGCGCGGACCAGGATGTTTCACCGGGATCTACAAGCTATCATTAGCCTATCAATTTGACATAGAACCCCCAAAGTATGATGTTTAGAAGGTGCTTTTGTTGTTTTTGGATATCATCGTTTTGCTGAGGGTCCATGTTGGGTTCGAACATGACAACGGAAAAAACAAGAATGAATTGATGTGAATGCATTGAATTTGTTTTTACTGGTTTTGTATGAGGGATTGCCGGATCAGGTTTCTTTGGTCCCAAAGATCTCGTTCGAACTGGTTAGTGACTAGTTGAGGGGTACCCCCCAGGCTCCGCAAACATTGCATGAAGGGGGTTATCCACGACAAGGGGCGTACCCCCCCTTGAGTGAGGGCAACCCAACAGTGCTGAACTGAACCCCAACGTTTTCCGCAACATTTCATTTGTTTGGAGATTTATAGCCAATCTTTGCTCGGAAGGACTGCAGATTCTTTGTCGCTCGAGCTGGCATGTTGATGTGGCATTGCAGTCAGGGTTTGTCGGATTTTTTGAGAAAACCTCCAAATTTGAAGGATTAGAACATCATTTTCCTCTAGAAATGGTAATTCTGTGGAGGATAATCCCCAACTTTTCACCGACCCATCTCTTGTCCATTCCTAGGACAAAGACGGAGCCTCTTGGATGCGAGGAGGTTTAGACCAATCTTGGTGGATGGGTTACCCTGGGGTACAGAAAGATGTGGAAAACCTATGGTGGAACCGTGGGGAAACGATCTACATATGGTGGCTGCTCGCCGCATCTTGACCGTTGACCCGACGGTATTTTTATATATGTGGACATGTGCAAATGGGAGGGAAATGATCCGACTAAACGTACTGTATATTTCTATACACATATATATACATATACATACATACTGTGTGCGTGCATAGCCACATGCATATATAGAATGATTAGATTGGATTGGTTTGGACTGAATAAAATTATATACATTAGATTAAAAAGTGGTGCCGAAAAGAGCAAGCACCAAGTTCCATAGTTTACCAAAAAGAGACGCCGAGTCACCTTTTTGAGGCACTGGGCAATGTTTATTGGTGGTATATTGTTCCATCGCGAAGGTCGGTCATGCACTCACCCAGTTCCAAGTTTGCTTGGGAATTCGGGAAACCATCTAGCTAAATCAATAAATCAATAAATAAAAAATATGCACAGTATGCGTACATACATACATACATACATACATACATACATACATACATACATACATACATACATACATACATACATACATACAGACACACACACATACATACATACATACATAACATAACATAACATAACATAACATAAATAACATAACATAACATAACATAACATACATACATACATACATACAATCACACATACATAGATAGATACATAGATACATAGATACATAGATCATATATACATAGATACATTGATACATAGATACATCGATACATAGATACATCGATACATCGATACATAGATACATAGATACATAGATAGACAGATAGATAGATAGATAGATAGATACATACATACAGACGGACAGACAGCCAGACAGACATGCATACATACATACAGACAGATAGCCGGACAGCCAGACAGACATGCATGCATGCATACCTACCTACCTACATACATAGATAGATAGACAGATAGATAGATAGATACATAGATGCATGCATACATACATTACATTACATTGCGTTGCATTGCATTGCATTACATTACAGTACATTACATACATGTTTGTTTATATTCATCCATCATTATTCCCAACAGACCTTTTCTATCCTTTTCTAACATTCCATGCTACGCGAGGTTGGAAAACTCTGGCTGGGCGCAGTTCTTCCTCTATCAGACGCTCTACTGCGTGGACGTGGAGAAACCCGCCTGCGAAGAAGCAGCGCCGAGCTCAGCAGCACTAGGATTTCGCAACCATCCGCAGCATGACTCAGGATGAACAATGTTGTTGGAACATGATAGAAAATCCATAGAATTATCTAGAGGTTTCCATAAATGGGGGTACCCCAAAATGGATGGTTTATAAGAGAACATCATTTTGAAATGGATGATTAGGGGTACCACCATTTTAGGAAACCTCTATTTAATACATTCTAATATGTGTTATATATATACATATATATATAACTTATGTATTCACTAGTGTCCAGTGAATGAAGATAAAATGGGGTAATGTCAACCCTGGATTGATAAACTCCAAACGGCTGTTTAATTGGGGGGGTACCATTTAAGTCATTCATTTGGGGTTGACTTTACATGCATATAATGATGAAATCAACACTTTTTTTTACCTAACGAACTAACTATCCAAATTTTCCCTATCTACAGTATCTATAATCTACCTTTCCTATCCCATCCCATCTGAGCTATCTATAGTATTCTATAGTCATCTATCTTCCTGATCCATGCTAGCCATAAGCCATGCAACTGTCGAAATGAAGGAACCGGCCGTGGCTCCAGGTGAAACGGGCCATGCCTATGTGGATCCAGGAGCCTGGGATACCCCGAATCACTGGTTTTTCGGTGACGAGAAAAATGCCCCAAAACGTGTGAAACACACTTTGATGTGGGCCAACCCACCCACAGTTTCGAATTCATGATCTATGATGATCTATGATGATCGTTGAAAATCATCTGGTTTTTATATGTATGTTTTTCACTAGCGTTCAGCAGGAAATCATCATATATGAGGAGATGAGGATTTAATGTGGCATAGAATGCCAATCAATACTTGGCTGAATTATAGGTCACGGATTGCGGTTAGGAATGGAGATGATTGGAGAAATCATCCAAAAATCCATAAGAATGCCTTATTTCAGGGGTGCCCATAATGAATAAATGGGGAACCATGGGGCTACTAAGAGTTTCCCACACGATAGAGTACGAAACAGGTGCTTCTTTGCTTTTCTTAACATTTATTTTAGTGAAATGAGAACTTGACGGGGCGACCTCGTGCCATAGTGGTAGGGAGATCATCCCAATGGTTTACATTTCCGGTGTTCAGTGGCAAGGTTTCATTCCCGCTATTTGATAGTTCTTATTAATGGTTATTTCCCATTTATTCCCCCACTCCCCATGATATCCATCCATTTATCTCCATATGTAAATTCTGATTAATTATATCCATAATATATCCCTATTATGTCCACTTACTTACATCAATATCCCGAACACACACACACATATATATATATATATAATATTCCCATTCTATATTCTTATTAATTCAATATATCCCCATTTTAATGTTCCCATGATATATCTCAGCAAATTCTGGTGTCCCCATCCATCCACATCAAAAAGTCACGTCAGGAAGTGCTGCACCACCGCTGGTTGGATCATATCGTCCTTTTGGCGCAGCCACAGGTGGGATGTCGGATGTCGATAGGTGGTCATATATATATAATATATGACTGGATAGGTGGTCTATATATGGATGGTCAAAGTATGGTATATATATATATACATGGTCATAGTATGTCATAGTCATTACCGACTGGATAGGTAGAAACTGATTAAGTATATAATCCTTTGTTTTTTTGCCAAAACATGCGAAATCAATGGAAACTAACCAGAACCAGCAAAGGACTTTTTTTTCCTGGACTACCAGAGATTGACCATCTAGTTGGCTAAGTTGACGCAGATAACTTGTTGAATTCTATGGTCTATGGTAGATGTATCGAACTAGTTACTATGATTAACTTTACGGACTTATAACTACGGCACCACCTTGCACCAATAGGTTGGCACGGTGATCCTTTGGAATGTACGTTAGGTTTACCAGTTACAATTTCCAGTTGTTTTTCGATGTTTTTCATATGGTGCATTTGTTTGTTTGCTATTCAAAATGCATTTGCTTGGTTCCGTTTCAACCGCTTTTTGGGTGTGATCTATTGAGCAATCAACATGGGAGAGTTCAGTTTCATTTTGTTCACTCGGCACGGCTGCAGAGTCAGAGGTGCCCATGGTGCCCACAGCCCCAACGTTTGGCGACCATATGGTGACCAGATTAGTGACCATCCCAACCTTTTACGACCCTGCCATGAGTTGGGCTAAAATTGGCTATTGTCAGGGTCTACTGTATGTTTTTTATTTGAATGGTAAATCTCCCTTGAAAAAGTGTTAAGGTCAGATAGGTTAGAATTCTTTGCCGGTTGAGTTTCCCTGAAGGAACTTAAATTAAACCATTAAATAAAGGTGGATCTCACATGTTCCACATTTCAAGAAATGGTCAGCCATGGGCCTCCAACCACTTGTCCTTGTCGCAGGGGGCCGATGAAATGCAACGCGACGTCGATCGATGCTTACAACGCACCAACACCCAGGCGGCAAGGGGGTAGGCTGCTGCGACAGTTGGGGTGGGGCTGGAGGGGGTGGATTGGGATTTTCATGAAATTCAATAACCAAGAACAATCAATTAAAGGGATGTTGGGATTAGTTGGATGTTATTAGACCGCCAACTAATAACATCCAATAACATGGATTCTTTTTTGTGCAAATCTGGGCATTTAAGCCAGCAAATCATCCAAAACTATCCAACATGATCCTAAATCAATCAGCAATCAGTTTTTGGGGTACACTATGTTCAGACATCCGTATTGTCGTAAACCTTGGTAAAGGCAAGCAACCCAGAAATTTGAATGGAGAAAATCCACCACCAGCACCATCCCCACAGCAGGCGCTGTTGAACTGCTCTTTTGGCCGCGAGTGGGATGAGCAGCACTGCTGGTTTGCGGGTTTTCTTATGGAGCCGAAGGCCCGGAAAGTTGGGTTATTTGTTATCTCCTGAGTTTCAGAGACTGGAATCCACCAGTTTGGGCTGGGGCATGTTGGTTTGAGAAGTGTTGCTTGAATTCTGAAGTTACATCCTGAAAAGTGGGATTTCCTGATGTTCATTGGCAGAGAGCTCCTACACTTGACAACATGGTATCATCTTATATAATACATTTGCATATACATAGTGTCATTTGTGTCTTTTGTTTCTTTAAACTTGAGTTTTTCTTTGTAATTATTAATTTGCATGATTGCTTTTATATAGATACACTTGTTATATGCGTTGTTTCATTGTAAAACGCAATTTGTGTTTGTTCGGCAGCACGCCTGCTACTGCTAGTGCTAGTGCTAGTGCTAGTGCTAGTGCTACTACTACTACTACTACTTCTACTACTACTACTACTACTACTACTACTACTACTACTACTTGTACTAGTACGGGCAAACACCTCGATTTGCCCGCGCTTGTCGGCGGCCATCTTCGTATGTGCTGAAAACGTGGTAAAAATGGGAGTTGTTTGCATCATGGCTAACTTACTGTTGTATATCGGCACGCACAGCATAGGGACCTGTGCGAGTCTCTTACACATCATCATCATCATCGTCATCATCATCATCATCATCAGACCCTTATTGAAGATCTTCAATGAATGTAGAAGTTTAACGGGGGTGGGAGAATTAAACCCATATTTAAGATCTTCAATGAATGCAGAAGTTTAACGGGGGTGGGAGAATTAAACCCTTATTGAAGATCTTCAATGAATGTAGAAGTTTAACGGGGGTGGGAAATTTATATTCCCTAAATACCCTGGTTGATCTTCCCAATTGAATGTAAAGTCTAACGTTTGATATCCCCAAGTGTACAGCATAGAAGGGGTGTGGGCGAATCGGGGTGTTTGCGCGTACTAGTACTACTACTATTATTATTTGTACTAGTACTACTACGATGCTATTTGCTATTACTACATTAACCTTTGCATGGGTCAAACCACCAAGATCCACCAAGTATCATCAAGTTCAGCATAAGCAGCATTCCTATTACAACAGTCATGTCACTAACTTATATACTATATAGTAGTAAAACACACTATTTCACATAGTTCCACACTTTATATACAGGTATTGGTTCAATCAGCCCATCATAGCACTTGAGCCACAGCAAAAACTTCGGCAATAGGATACATGTAAGGGACGGACATCAGTTTACAGAAATTGTACAAGTATGAGGTAAGCGATGGGACCTTCCCAAACAGCGATACCCCACTTAAAGGTTGTGTCATGACCTGTGCACATACATTCTCCTTTAAGCGATGCCCCTTCCAAGTTGCCATACATCATTTTTTTTGTGCAGACCTGCGTTCGGCGATGGGACCTTCCCGGTGTTTCTCAAGTCCTTTTCGTGAACCCCGAGTTTCAGTAATCTTCTCATACTATTGGGGGTGAGCAGTATGGGAATGAGGGTCCCATCATTGCATCATTGGGGGTCCCTTTAAGAATTCACTAAAAATACCATTGTTATCCCATTATCATGATTATTACATTATTACTGTACATTATGTAGTGTATATAAATATCTATCTATCTATCTATCAATCAATCAATCAATCAAGCAACCAATCAATCAATCAATCAATCAATCATCTATCTATCATCTATCTATCTATCTATCTATCAATCAATTAATCAATCAATCAATCAATCAATCATCTATCTATCTATCTATCTGTCTGTCTGTCTGTCTGTCTATCTATCTATCTGTCTGTCTATATGCATAATTATATATATATATATTTATTGCAGTAAGCCCTATGAAACCATATAAATCCCTCATTGGGGTTCCCTATTAAATCCACTAAAGTCACTTAATGTTTCCTATAATGTTCACTAAGTCACTAAAATCAACCCATCATGTAAAACCATATTATATCCCATTGCTCTCTCATATCATTCCATGATGTTAAATCCTGTCAAACCATGTAAAACCCATCATAAGAGGTCTATTACCCCGTAAAAAATCATATTAAATAATAGGTCTATACCCATGAATAGGATTATTATATGTGTGAAATCACAGCCCCTGGCTTTCAAACCTATTTCCATTAGATCCTAAAAGTATGATAATTCCAAAATTTTTCGCTATTGAAACCATACAAAACCGATCGTAGGTGGCCCTGGAGTGCGACTCCATGCTACCGCTGGGCATGGGTCGTCCACGACCCAGCGGATGGTTGGCCTTGAAGTCGCGCGTGGCACGGAAGGCGGGGGACACGGAGGGGTTCCATGGACGGATCCTCGTTGGGTCAACCATCATGTAATGGGAACTTACCATGATGTAACGGGATTAATGAATACTATGGAATACTCATGGGATATTCGTGATTTACGGTGACTGGTTAGGGAGTACAACTGTGTCAACCTTGCTTAGATACGAACTAATCCCTTCCCCTTATTACCAACCCCTCCCCAAGAATAAAAACTAGGGTCCGTCTCCAATTTTAGAAAATTCCAGGTTGGCCAATTTGATTTTTAATTGATCCCCTTTAGAAAACAATTTAAAAATAAAACTACAATTTGAGGGTTTCACCCCCTAATAAAAACTAGTTAACCCCGGGGTGTTTTTTATTAGGGTCCGTCTTTTAAGGTCGAAACAAAAAATGTATTTTATATATTAAGGTTATTTTTAGTTTAATATTAGGGGAAAACTTCGAAATCCAATTTTTGGCAATGTTTTAATTAGATGCCAAAAGGAAATCTAATCGATTTTGAAATAGAACAACACATTTTGTTTAATGTTAGGGTTTTAATTTTACTATTAGGGGGAAGCTTCGAAATCCAATTTTTGGCAAAATTTTAATTATATTTTAAAAGGAAATCTAATCGATTTTGAAATAGAAAAAAAACTGTTCTCTTTTTTATATTAGGGTTTTAAATTTAGTATTAGGGGGAACCCTAATAACAAATACCCCATAAAACTACCTGAGTTGTTTATTATTTGGGGGGGTAGTATTAGGGGGAAGGGATTAGTAGTTGAACCTTTTGCTATCAATGGTAAAATATGATAAAATGTACATTCACCAGCTAAAAATGAGATTTGTTGACAGGCATCTAAGATTCACCATGATAGCTGGATTGTTTTGTTGATGGAAAATCACCGAAAAATGGATGATAACTAGGGGTACCCCCATGACTTAGGACACCTACATACCAAACATATGTTCATATATATATATATAGTAATATATGTATATATGTATATATGTATATGTATATGTTTAAAAAAAACACAAGAATTTGATGTGATTTGAGGATCAAACATGCGGATTTCATGTGATCGCATCAAGTTCATCATCAAAACTACCAAACATGTGTTGTTTGATGTTTGACATGACTGGTGGGTTTGAACAACAAACACGCGGTTTTACCATCAGACAAATGCGGTTTCGCCAACTATGCATGTATAGCAAAAGGGTTCTTTTAAGCAACCATCAATAAACAAGACCTGCAACAGTTGGGAATCAAAGTCAGAAGCTAGGATTTAACCACAAAAGACAACAACATAATAGATGTCCACAATAAATAGGAGACATATGGGTCATCCAGCCATCCAGCAATGAATGAGGATTTATCCTGCTGAACACTAACATCGAACGCAAAAAAAATTGGACAATGACTTGCTTGGATGTGGCAATTCAACACACCGAATTTCTGCCAAAAAAAACGAAAGCTTGTCACTTTGCAGCATTTTTGCAACACATTTTGGAGGGGTACCATGGATCCCCGTAGCAGCGAAAGTTGGAGCCCGCAGGTCGGATTTCGGGTTGTCACTTTGCATGACTGCTTCTGGCGGCACCTCACAGAGGACCATGGCAGAAAGGCGTGTTGGAACATTTTTGGAACTAGAGATTAATCAAAGCAATTCAAAACAGAATATCGATATATGATGATATAAATATATGTATATATATAACTATATACATATATATATATGTATCACGTATATGTATTTATTGTATTTAATTATATACATATATATATCAATTATATTTTTTTGCAGGTGTTGATTTATCTTTGAAGTTTCTCTGGTGCTTTGGCAGTACTGATTGATGTCAGTGAGTCAGGTGTCTTCTCATACGGTTTCACGAATTTTCACGATGTTTTCTTGTCTGTACGATTGGATACGGCTGGTTTGCTTTCTTGCGGTAAGATACAACTTATTTTCATGTACCCATAGGATCCATGGCGCTGGTATATATATGCTAACATGACTGGGGTATATTGATGGGATCCATGGCACACCATTAATATAGCAGCACCATGGATCCTATTAGGGGTATGTTTTCCCAGCAGCATCGGCTGTACTACGGCTGGGAACAGCCCATTTTTGGCCAAAAGAAAAGGACCAAAAGGATGAGCAGATGCTGCGCATGCGAGCGCAGATGGGCTATCAGCATGATCCCGGCCTCGAGAAGATCCAGAAGAAGATCCGGCAAACGCCGTTCCCTGGCTGCGAACAAAGGAGCTATGGTCCATAGCAATGGTAGCAAATTTAGCTTGTTGAAGCTTCATTTACATGAATTTACTTAGTAAAGAGGTTTAATTTCTTTACTTTGGCCATTACCCTCTGGTTGTTTAACATAGCCATGGTATAGATGGCCCATAGAAATAGATGGTTTACCTATTAAACATGGTGATTTTCCATGGCAAAGCGTTAGTCATAACCAGATGGTAGTTTTCCACATAACATGGATGTTCCTCTCCGTGGTTGTTTTAAATGGGGAGCTTAGGGGCCGGCAGAGTTTCCCACAGGTCCGCGCTGGGTGTTTCACTGGAAATGGTGGCCAGGTGGCCAGGATCAGACGGTGCGGGAAAAGTATTCAAATGATATTAATCATATATTAACTATTAAATATCACCTATAGGAATCATATATTAACATTTAATACTAATGATATTTCATTATTAATATCAAATAATGTTAGTTAATATTACCTATATATTACCTTAAGATTAATATGAGTATTCAAATGTAATTAATATGAATCAAGGTAATTCATCATTTTGTGGATTCGACTAGTGTCATCTTCCATGTTTTTTGCTCCCACTTAGGCACACCTACAAGGGCTTGGAAACCAAGCGCAAAGAATGGACGCCGCAGCCTGGCCCCCCCAGTGATGACACCGCTTTCACCTGACGAAAAAATGCAGATGGAGAACGGAAGAGGAGTTCTGGGCAGTGGCTGATCCCCATATCGGTTATATAATGTTATGCCAGAATATGTGCACGCACACACATATTCCGGCAATCCCTTCCCCCATTTTCATTGTGTTTGTATTGGATTTGTTGATTTTGGGAAGGGTATGTAAGATTTTGGGGATGGGATTAATTCATTAATGATTAGATATGATTAGTTGGTGGAATCAAATGGGTTTTCAGTTGTTCAACCATCACAAGGCGGGCCTTTTCAGTTGTGTTTGTTGGTTTGCAAATCCCGTTGTACTTGTATTGTAATGTTGTCTGGCCAATAGTGATATCTTGTCAATAGTAGAAACATTTTTCCGCAACTCCAATTTTTCTCCAATACTAAAAGTCAATTAGCTCCATTCACTTTTAGTATTGCCAAAAGAGTCAAGTAAAGCAAATCCTTTTCAAAGCAGCCTTCACTTTTGATTAGCAAAAGCCTAGATTCCAGAAATCTGATCCCATCCCAAAACAGGTGATTTCCTTATTAAATTCTTATATAAAAATTGAAGAAAACAGGTCCACAAAGGGTACCCCCTTTGCAAGCCCCAGAATAGCAATAACAAACCTGCACCAGGCATGGCAATAGTGGAAACTTTTTTCCGCAACTCCAATATTGTTGTCCTCCTTCTTCTTCTCCTCCTTCTCCTCCTCCTCCTCGTCCTCCTCCTTCGCCTCCACCACCTCTGCCCCCACTTCCATGTCCACTTCCGCCTTGCCAACTCTTCGCCAATCTCTTCGCCACTCGAGAATCTATCAGATACATATCATGATCCCAGCTATAGATTCCCAACAATAATTATAGGAAGGTTGATCCCCCCCTAAAAAAATAAAAATAAAACAAAATAGGGGGGGGTAATTACTATTAGGCAGCCAACATTATAACGATAGTTATATCAGTGATATGGATTATCAATCCAATTAAGTATAGTTATAAATATATATATATATATATCCCCCTAGTCAAGCCTAGTGAATCTGTAAAAAAACCGCCAGTTACCTGTCAGCGCCAGGGGACGATCTCCACATGTTGGGCTGCCCAGAGCATCCAATGGAGGAGCTGGATGGATAGTGGCGAAGTCTATGGTAAATTCAGAAGATGGAAGAACACGTTACTGTTTGGTGGTTTGGAACATTTGGATTATTTTTCCACATATTGGCAATGTCATACTCCCATTTGACTTTCATATTTTTCAGAGGGGTTGAAACCACCAACCAGATGATGTCTTGGCCAACAGCTTCTTCGATTCTCTAGCACTGAACATGTGGATTTCGGAACTTACCACGCAACCAACCAACCGTGTTTGTTCACAGAACACATGATCAAACATTGTGCGGAGTTTTCTCCCAATTTTCAGACAGACTCATCAAGGTGGGTCCTCCCCAGTCTTTTTGTTGGTGAATAAACCTAATTCTATTAGATTATAGTGTGATAATGTGAGATAGACTACATAGGGGTACATATGGTTTTATGACTCATTTGTACTTGATAGAAGTAGCTCGATATATATATATAATATGATTATATGTAATATATATATATTTATATACATATGATTATATATATGTATATGATTAGGTATCTATATATAACATTGAAAGCAAAGAAATTTCATCCCCATCTCCAATGCTTCCTGCAGCCCCCCCTTCCGCTGTAGGCGGAAACTCTTAGTGCCCATGCGCTTAGAGGATATTCACTTCCTCAGGTAACTCCTCTGGCCATTTCGGCCGCCGGCTGTGGGCTGTGGCAGTGGAGTGCAGGACATAGTCGTACTTAAATGCAGGCCATACAGGCAGAATGAAAATAAATGAATACATATATTTTATATTTATATATAATATATATATAATATGATTGGCCTTGTTATTGGCGTTTGATTTGCTTATATTATTTCATGATATTTTTGTTGCTGTTTGATATAGATGTTGCAATCATTGCATCATTGTCCGCAAAGCCCCTAGGCTCCTCTCTTGGGTACGGATCACTCTTGTTTTTTTGAAACAGGTCTAGCTCATAGGCCTTGGATTTGTCGGTTTCCCCTACAAGGCCGCACCTCATGAGGATCATTTAGGATAATTTTTCCTCAAATGGCTGATTTCACGGCACATTGTTAGGACAGTAACCTGTCAAGTGTGTCAAGATAGTTTCATCCTGGAAATCACTCGGGCACTTGCCTTGATGCTATTCGCTATCCCGACAGCAAGTGCCTTTGGGTTTTCAGCCATCCACATCATCCAGCATTTGCATTCGGTAGTAGTTACCCTCCAGTAAATTAACAGTTCGACCCTGGCAGTTTTTTTGGGTTGGAAGATGAGTTTCCATTAAAACCTCTGGTTATTTTCAGGGTCAACAAGTTAATTTACCAGAGGGTAGCTACTCCCATCACAGATTCAACTATGGTACCACTTGGATTTGGGGTCTAACAGCTCTGGACACCATCCACTTGTTTCAATGGGAGTTTCAGGATCCTAAAATGGAGGTACTGTACCATATAAGGCCATATTTTTTGGTGATATTCCCTTACATAGGCCTAAAAAATAGGCCAAAAATATATGGAATCGGTACCTCCAATCAATCGGTTCCTGAAATGGCCATTGATTGTTGTTGATGTTCACATATTCAAAAAATTAGAAGTGTAAGACCATCCACTTGTGCGGTACTTGGTATCCCGTCCTGACGCACACTCTTAGCCTCTTAGCATCACTTTGCTGTGTATGTTCGCTTCTCTGATAAGCATCGCCAAAGTCATAATCGTCAATAAATATTACCCTCTGGACATTAAAAAAAACATAGCTATGGAAAATGGCCCAGATACAGATGATTTTCCCAGAAACACCTCCATGTAAAAAGGATGTTCCATAGCTACGTTAAACAACCAGAGGGTATCAAAAAGGCGATATCGACGACATCGATAGCATCACCTGGCCAAATGCCATCAGCCTCAAGGTCCCGCACCCACAGAATCCCGCAGTTTGAGCAGTCACGGACTGTCCGACGTAAAATCAAACTGGAACACATGATACACATGACAGTCATGAATTCATATCCCATGACGGATCCATGTATGGTAAGTATATATGCTAACATGACTGGGGTATATTGATGGGATCCATGTTACCATATATAGCATACATGGATCCTATGGGTATGATACTTTCAAATACTCTTCCCAACTCAAAACATGATTTAGATTGCATTCCCCCACGTGGATGGCAGCTTCAGCATGGCACCAGCCCAAAAAAAACAGGCCCGTTGAGGATTCGGAGCTTGATTCTTAAGCAACAAAAATGGAGGGTTTTACGAAATAAAATGGGGGAAACTACCAACCAAACTAGGGATAAATGTAGAAAGAACAGGGGAAATCAACTGAATGAGGGGCCTTACCATCAAACATGTCGGGGGAAAGAGGGGGAAACCAACTGGTGATGGGTATATAGTGTAGTACTGACTAACCTTTTGACATTTTGATGGGGGTACATCAACAAAACCAGCTGCAAAAAGATAAGGGATGGTTCCTCCGGAGAATCCTGTCAGACTCGTGCCTTCAGGAAAACAAACCAAATCCATCTAGCTAAGTTGGTGAACAGAAGGTCCTGGGGCTTATTTCCAGAGGTATACCCTCTGGTAATGACTAACAGTTTGCTATGGAATCCATGGCCATGAACATATATAATTAGTTGATTTACCCATCAATAATGGTGATTTTCCATAGTTACCCGCTGGTAATTTAGCATAGCTATTGAAAATGGTGATTTATAGTGGATTTTCCCATTGAACATGGTGATTTTCCATAGCTATGTGGCTGTTTACCAGAGGGTATGTTAAAATTTCTATACTTTGGAGTTGTAAAGCAAGAAATGGAACTAACCACCTTGAGGGCCCTCGTGAAATCCATGGTGAAATCCCCTTTTTTTTCCGGTTGACAGAGGTCCCATTTATGAACGCAGCCACTCGTAAAATTCGTAAGACATCCTACGATTGTGTAGCCTATGTTTATACACAATGTTATTTAAATGAAATGTCATTTATCTTTTGTATAAATTAGATAAACAAACATATCAAACATCTACATTAGAACATCCCATGTTTCTTCTCTGTTTTTTGGGCTCCACACCAACATCACCATCGCAGGATCGGCACAGATTGCTCTGGCAGACGCCTATGGCGAAGGCGCTGGGAGCCTTCACGTGTACCGAGGGGTTGGTCGGGGTACCCGAGGCCAGGTGAGCCAGGTGATTCCCCTGACGCAGAGTTCACTTGGTGAAGCTTTGGGTTTATGGAGGATATGGCTGCAATATGGCTATTTTCGTCAAAACCCTGGGACCCTTTAAGGGGCTACCCTAAGAATAGCTGGTGGACCTTTGTTTCCCCGGTTTTTGAAAAGGTGTTTGACCCATCCCCATATGGCGATATAAAGTTACGTTGATGGGTTTACGAAGCAACAAACATCGCTGTGAGGCCTCACCTTGCGGTTGATGGTTTTTGTTTGAAGACTTATGCTACGATTTATTTGGGATTATGATAATATGATAACCAATGATTAGTAGGGACACCTATCAACCAACTAGTATCATGACGAAATGGGATAGTTTGTTATTTTTAACTGGCTCTCATGTTTTTCTTTCCTAGGACAATGGATGATTGTTGGGGATAGAGCCAGCATGAGCCAACCTTGATTGGATTTGGCCATGTTTGAACACAGTGGATTTAAATCTGCCACGGCCATGTTCAATGGATTATTTCTCAGGAAAACTAAACCTCAAGGAAAACACACCCATATCAAAAGTTGGTTTTAGCCCCATCTGAGCAAAGGATAATTGTTACAGGTATATCAGTACATCCACCACGAATTACATATCCCAGGTTCGTCCAGTTATAAACCAACTTACCTATTTGGGGGGGCCTTCCTTTAAAGGGCCAACACATATTTTCAATTCATGGTTAAATTCGTGAACGGGACCACGAATTTAACCTGTCGTTAAATTGGGTCACTCTCTAGCAATCAAACATGGTTTGCCGAATTTGTCCCTTTCCGATGATTTTCCCTTTGAAAAAACATCCATTTTAAGTACTTCCGAGATTTGCCAGCCATGCACACCGGATGGTATATCATAAATTATTCATGATCATTATACCCAATTTTGTCATTGTTCCAATGACATCCCTACGAATCCCTGCGACATATTTCAAGCCTATGACAGAATGGCCATCAAAAATCCACTTTTTCTGTGGGATCAACCGCCCAAAAAAATACGAAAAATACAACTATGATCTCAATGAAATCCCTATGAATCAAGCTAGTGTTCTTAGTGAAGCGTAAGATTTTACCATGATTTTACCATGAAATCCTGAGGTTCTCTTCTGCGACAACGACCCGAACGTCAAGGCCCAGAGGCCAGATCTTGGCCAACTTCACGAAGGATCGGGCCTCGGGATGCGATTCCGGGATGAATCGGCGTAACTAACATAGCGAACATGGCCATTGGCTGGTCGTTGATTCCAAAAAGGATGATTTTCCATGGCTATGTTTGAGGGCAAATGGATTTGATTGAGTTGGTGAAGATTTTTTGGGGATTGAAGTATAGCAAACAGTCAGACTTCAGTTTTGAGCTTGGCAAGGTTGGTTGGCTGAATATGATGTTTTCACGGTTCATAGCACGTTGCGGTCCCCAGTCAGACTGTGCCTCCCCCAGTGACATGTTTTTCGGTTTAGAACCTCCATAGTTAACCTTAGTTGTCAACCAACCTTAGACTATCTAGGCATCTAGGCGGCCTCACCTTGCAAAAAAAATATCCTGGAAAACCATAAAACCCAACAAATTCCTGATCATTCTGGGGAAAAGCCGTAGCCTCTACTTGTACAGTTCAACAAAAACAAGTGGGTTACACATCGCAATTCGTCCTGGAAGGAGATGATAAAGTGACCCACCAAGTCGCCACAGCGGAGCTGATTACACCTGCTATGTTCCCATTATATCCCTGTTATTATCCCAATGATATCCGAATATCCCTTAACCAAATCCTCTTAAAAATGGGCAAAATCATTGGTTAAGGGATATTCGGATACCATTAAATATTAAGTGAATATTTAATTGGGATTTCATTGGATATCAAGTGAATTCTATCCCGATCCCTGAACAAAACGACATTAAATCCTTGGTTTTGTTGGTGATATCCTATTAATTATCCCATGAAATCCGGCTTTCCCTGTGCCTGGCTGCATTTTTTCTTGCGAAAAGCTGCGTCTTTGGCCGTTTCCAAAGATGGGGGAAAGCTATGGGAAACAGATGCCGACAAGTAATGTTATACACTTATACAATCCTAGTTTAGTAGGATTTTACCACTTCGGCATTTTCCGGGAGTTTTAAGTTAGACTAACACTTCCTGGGCTCATCAATGCTTGTTCCACATGGGGAACAGATTCAGTGCCATAAACAACCCATTTGGGAATTGTTTATATCACCTATTTATGGTGATTTGGGGGATGGTCAATACATAATAATGTTAGATAAAATAACAACCACAAGCAAAACGAAACATCGTAAACATCAGCTCTCCTCAGCGACTTACTCTCCAATTTATAATGATACACAATGATACATAGATGATACATAGATGATACAAGAGATAATCTTAATCTTAGATAATGTTTATTATCAGGTAGATACATAGATGATACATAGATGATACATAGATATGTTTTATGACATGTTAAAACCCGAAAAACATTATCGAAATTCATAGATGTGCATTCGTCAATCAGGACCTTATATCCATAGATATGTTTAATACTTAATTAACTGATCCTAAACAGATGACGATTAATCAAACCATTAAAAAACATGTGGTTTTCCCCATGGCAGTGATTGCAGATAATGATAATGATAATTGCCAGTAATGTGGTGAAAACAAAAAACATAAGCCATCCACAATATTAGTATGAAATCATAAATATATATAAATCTTATATAGATAAGTTGGTATTTTTTGGTTGACATATGGTTCTGGAGACTAAAGGTGGTTGGCTGCCGTGGCCATGGACAGTAAACGTATAACTTCTCAGTCACATTTGATTGCCGATCCTTTGCTCAGTTTGGGGTTCCTTTCTTGTTTGGTGCCCCAGTAGACTTGGCACCGGCCACCGGCACTGAGTTTAAATCCACGGAAGAAACGCCCAAGTGACAAGGACCACAGAAAGCAAGGGAGGTGGAGAAAACCGGGGACAGAGCGTGACAACCAACCAAAAGATCGGATATATACATAATTATACATACATATATTATATATATATATGTATATTTACATATGATATTATATATAACTATCCCATAACTAATGTATTGTGACTTATTGGATGTAACATGTATACGTATATATATATATATATTAGATTGACAACTGATGAAATTTGGTGGGATTGTGGAATTCTTCAACTGGAATAGTGTAGTGGGGATATGACACATGACTAATTCAGACTCAGGATATGCTTGGCCCAACTTCACAAAATATAGCCAGTCCAACTGGGAGCCCTTTTTTGTGTTCTTTACTGTCCATCTTTGGTTGGACAGCCACAGACCAACAACCGCTTGGGGTCGGGTAGACGGATAGACTTGCAGCACAGACCATGCGGTCCCAAGCGACACACTTACCACAAACCCCGGCAATACTAAATATGTATTGGACGGACATTGGTTTATGGATTTTTTTCTGGAAATTCTCACCACAATTTTCAAAAAAAACAAGATTTTTTCAAACCAAAGGCGCGCCAAAAGAATTTTAAACATCCGACCTCGCCAATTTATTTCGTGAGTTTTCCCATTAATAATGGTGATTTTCCATAGCTATGTTAAATTACCAGAGGGTAACTATTCGTAGTGAAAGACACAATGAATTGATTGGTCCATTCGTCAGCCAATCAATCGGCAGCCATCTGGTTCACAGCCGTATGCAAAGTGAAAGGTGTATCCACAAGACCATATTTGATACTATTCTATATCCAATTGTCCAGTCCCAACTGCTGCATAATATATATATACATATGACCACTGTATATTGTACAAGAACTTCTGTAAGCTCTGAAGTGCCACACCGCCATTTCAATAGGAAGACCCGGCCGGTCTTTTCATGATCTGAGATCCATAAACCTGCGGCATCACCTTATGACTCAACAGGCTATGCGCTCTGGACATTTTGAAGACATCAACCTCATCAACCTTTGAGGGCATTTTGACAGCCTTTAAGCTTTTCAGAGAAGACTAAGTGGTTAGTAACTGGGCTAGCCATTTGTAGATGGGAGCCACGAATCGGGGACTGGAAAGGATTGCCATGGCCTGGGCCACCGCTTGATGGAGTCGAAGGTGTGAAAATCCATATGTGCGATCACCAGAAAAATCACCGTGATAGTCCGAAAATAAATGAACATATATAATGGGGAAATTGCACATCTTACATCATCGGATTAGCACAAGTTCAATCAGCATTTAATATAGTGATATAGTGTTTTAGTATGTATGCACGCACACACACGCACACACACATATATATATGTATATGTATATGTATATGTATACAGATAGATAGATAGATATTGTTGGTTTGCATTCCCATGTTACTCTCGATTTGTTTTTTTCATGTATATACATAGTCAGCAAAAAATCCTACTGTATCATTGAAGTTACTTTAGGTCCTTTAGGTTTAACCCCCCTATTTTTGGTCTCAATTTTGGTCACTTGGATCCCCAGTTTTTTTTCCTTCCAGAATGTGATGTTGATGACATCAAAAATGATGCTTTGCTTGTCAAATTTCAATTGCTGCTTTGACAAATCCAATCACGCTTTTGTTGTTTGAATCGAATTCATTCTTTGTTGCACCTGAAGTCTAGGTTATTGTTGAATCAGATCATTTTAAGCAGTTTCTTTCCTGAACTTGCTCTTTTTTCTTGGTTCATCTCCAAAGTTTTGCTTGTTGCCACTGCTCCATTGGCACATCACATCCCCGTGCTCTCCGCAGATCGCGGAGTTTCATGCATGGCTCAAGCAGCGGCATGGTGTCGATGTAGAGGTGGAGATGCGGGGTAGGGTAACTTGTACATCCTTTTTGCAGCATACCCCCCAGAATTGGTCGGACAAACCTATTTAAGGCGAGACAAGTGAGCCACGCTATTAACCAATCAAGGTGAATGCAATTGTGAAGCAAACCAAAAATCAAGCATATTATATACTACTGGTATATCTCATAGTTTCCCAGTACCCCATTCTATGCCAATTATGTTTGGAATGATGCCACCAGTTTCCACCTTTTTTGTTGCTTAAATGACCATGTCTAGCCACTCAGTATCCCATTATTTCCCATTGTATCCGTATTGCACCCCCCAAAAATAGAGTAATTAACCGCTATTTTAGCAGGATTTCACTACTTCTATCTTTTCAAGGGTCCCCACTATGATTTGTTTTTATGCCCTATGACATCTGATTAATCAACCAATTTAAATGCGGGAGAGTTTAGCGCACACCTGCAGGCCTTAGGCGTGTGCGTGCGCAGCGATGACCATGGAGGGCTTGGGCTTTACGCCGCTGGACAGGATTGTGTGCAACCGGAACCAACTGAACTTAGACTTGGACCGTGTTCTTCCCAAAATGGTGGTATAATGGGTATAGTGACCTATAGTGGTGGTATGATGGAGGTTAATCATTGTTAATCTAGACAAATTGGAACTAATTATAGTGCATGTACACAGCGTGTCATCCAGCTGCAAGCAGTTTTAGAATGCCCAGACCTGCAAGGGGTGCAATGCAGCATCAGAATTTCCCTTTCAAATCCCGATCCAAGAACCTGATTTTCATGACAATAGACAATTGTTGTTTTCCCCGGGCATCAGCGCAACGTGTGTATATATATTTATACATACATATTCACACACACACACATATATATATATACATATATATATATATATACATTTACACACACACACATATATATATATATTTACACATACACATACACACGTATATATAATGTGACATGCATTTATTAATGCTTACTATAGTTTGTGGTGAATTACGCTTGGTGGCGGCATTCTCGATGTAGATTCATTGTGGCGGCTCGCGTATCCACAGCTATTCTTTGGTCCTCCTCAAAATGGCCCACTTTTAGCCAGAAAGACCTAGTCATTCATTCGTTCTCTGCGGTACCTAAAAATGCTACCTGTACTGTAGCCGTATACAGTGGACTCTTAACCAATCCTGGGGATCAGATTTTTTGCTTCACTATGTTTCAGAGTATATCTGGCTCAATTTGTCGAATTTCTTGCTGGGCATCATCAACAAGCTACCAGTCGTCAACGCTTTTTTGCCTAGGCAACCCACAGCATTGAACCCGGTGAACGGCTCGCAGAGACTCTCGGAGAGACACGGATTGTCCTTTATGGAGTCCTTTAAGGTAAGCTTTGGTGAATGGCTGGTAGCAATTCTATCCAAAAAATGGATCCAAATAGCCACGAAGAAGGTACTTCACCCATTTTAACCCCCTAAATCATGCCCCAAATACTGACCGAGAAGGTACTTGAACTTGGATCAATATCATGATGTATGTAAGATGTCAATCCGAATATTGATATAACAAATTAATCCCGAAATGGGTGGCAAATAGCCAGCCAGAGAGATTTGAGTTTTGGTTTGCTTAGACTGCTTAGACATTGAGATTGGGGAAGATGATCTCCTACTGCGAGATCACACGCCTGAGGTCCTGGCAGAATGGGATTCGAAAAATTGCATTGATGGAACAGTCACTTTCCCCAATAGTGAAAACATTTAAGTACCACCATGAAAACATATAGAAACCGAGGTTTAGTATGGGAATTACAGGATCTATGTATTTTGGGGTTTCCCAAAAAAAGGGTGACACCAGCCTGGGGGATGATAATTTTTTTTCATGGTCCTTCATGGTCCATCAGCCGGTAAATCCGAAGATTACGTAGCCAATGGGCCATGTATCATTGGTTACAGTAGCCAATTATATATAATGTCAACCCTGGATTAATAAACCCCAAACGGCTGTTTAATTGGGAGGCTACCATTTATGTGCCATCTAAAGTGACTATAACTGGAGGGTACCCCCTAATTAATAAACAATGTTTTATTAATCCGGGGTTGACATTAATATATGTATTATATGCTTGGTGGTTTGGAACATGAATTCTATTTTTCCATGTGTTGGGAATTTCATAATCCCAACTGACTAATATTTTTTAGAGGTGTTCAAACCACCAACCAGTTATATGTTTCTATACCAATGAAATGGCCCATCTCATTTTTAGTTATTTTGTTCGTACATCATCTATCAATGGGCCATCTAAGCCATCTATACCATATCAAACTGTGTCTTTGCCTCTATCCGGGCGGGGTAGCGCCCTGACCCGGCACCGTTTCACACTGACAAACGCTATGCCGAGGATTCCAATCACTGCCGCTGGGTTCTGCAAATCAGATGTTTCCAGGTCGCTTCTTTTTGCTATGTTTTGGGGCTAGGAACTGCCAGGGAACTAAGAACACGCAAAAAAAAGACATACTGTGGATGGGCCAGCGAAATCCGAATCACCAGTTGAAAACGGTGGTAAACATCCCATTATTTATAGGCTTTCAACATGTTTCAACCATCCCAAATTGGTGGTTGATCGGATTTCGCTGGCCCATCCACGACGTATCCGGATGTTTGGGGATGATCAAGGACAACTTACAGCAAGAACGGGCAGAGCCCACAAATGATGGTCAAGATTGAAGAAGTCATCAACATATCACCTGAAAACTATAAGTTTATGACAAATTTTTCATCCCATTGTAAATCTACCTCAACCTAAACAAAAACTCCAGATCAGAGATGTGTATGTTTTGGTGAATTTCCATGGAAAAACCACCTTTTCCTGCCGCTCGCCTGACCACATGTCCCCAGGCCCTGCTGACAGCCAAAGCGGCCAAATGTGCTTGGGCCTCCCGGAGCGGGGTCTTCCAGCGAGCGCTAGAGGTGGCGGAGGGGGAGGAGCGGCTCGGTGACACCAGATCTGGCAGTAGAAATTTACCTAATGTATATTTGGCCTGGTAAACATCTGGGTATCATTGCAAAATATACATCTAATGAACCTAATGGGATATTTACCTACTGTAGATTTTACCAGGTAATGTATATATGTGGCTGATACCTTGGGATTAACTAGGCAATATGTGCATGAATGAGGATAATGATGGGATGATATAATTGGAATAGCAATTGGAAGTGAATACAATGTCAGTGCCCATGAATACCAGGCATAATTATCGAAACGCTAAACGCTGAAAACAGCCTGGCTAACTATGGAGCATCATTTTCTAGCACTATGGGGGGAGCCAAGGAGCCGGTGTGAATGGAGGAGTGGCAGAATATACTTGGGGGGGGGATACTTGGGGGGGGGGAACCCACTTAGTAAATGGGCTATACCGGCTATAACCCCCAAGTATATATATGGAATATCCCCACTTATATATGGGATTATAAAGGGTATATCATGTTATAATATTTTTTTTAAATATGGATTATAAACCACTTACTAAGTGGGATGCACATCCAAGTACGGGCGCAGACTTGACCCTGGGTGGCGTGATCAAACTGTTTGGGAAAAGTTATGTGTCAAAAGTCGCAACCACACTTGATTTTCTGTCCAAAGGAAATTGACGGGATACTCGTGACTCATGGTCTTTACATGTTTTCACCATGAACATCCAGAGGAGTCTTGCAATTCTTAAAACAGTTCGAGGATCGCTGCTTGAGGGAACAACAACACCCAACAACCGAGCTTTTTTCAACAGAAGGGGTCCTCCTGGGAGGGAGACTCTTGGACCAAAAACATCCAAAAAAACAACGTAACTTTTTCAGCTGGGCTGGGCGCTGGGAGCTGAGGCTCTTGTGGCTCTACATGATTTGGGGCCGCCAGGAGCACTTCGAGACGTGGCGAGCCGTGGTTTCCCACCTGTGGCCATCGCTTCAGAAAGCTGGGAACATCAGCTCTGGAGATTTTCCAGCGTTGGATGACGGCGAATCTATGGCCCTATGGCCCTATGGGTCTGAATCAATCTTTCTCGAGTTTGTGGTAAGTCAGAAGTTGATCAAAAACTCATAAAAACTCTATATACTCAATCCTTGAGATTGATTGAGTTGATGCTAGTTACTTAGTTGGGTTGACTTTTTCTGCATGTATTGGGCCATTCGGAAGCCTTTTTTTTCGTTGGTCAATTGTTGTTTTCCAATCATCCCAACTCTGCGTGGCACGGCCTGCAGGAGCCCAGCTGTAATTGGCATCCGTACTTACAGCTACTTCCCAGAGACGACCCTTTGTAACTCGGCGGGAGAAACGCCGACATTTGTTGTGGCTAAAAAAACGATGGTTATGGAATGTTATGGTCGTCATTTTACCATTCAAAAGCCTGTTTTTGGGTAGGTACCTTAGGTACCCTAAATAGCTGGATGTTAAAAAACATAGGTTTTGACCCATCCCCCCATGGTGATCCACAGAAGGAGCTGGCTGCGAAATCCGGAGGCGCTGCAGTGGTTACGAGGCACACCCTTGGAAGGTTCAGACAAGGCGTGGAGGGATCCGGTCGTTAGGAAGCTAGGGAGATTTAAAGAGCTGCTCGGTCGGCATATTCCTCAAAAAAATGGAAAAAGTGAACTAACAAGATGGTAGAATTGGTGTTTATATGCGTGTACGGTATGTTTGACATTGTTTTTGACCCACTGTGAAATATCATTGGTGGTTCATGTTGGTGAATATCCATTTAGCCTCTGGTTGTTTAACATAGCTATGGAAAATGGCCCGTGGATAGTAGATGAATTCTGATGATTTGCATTGATTTACTTGAATTCTGATGATTTGCATTGATCTACCTGAGAAAGAATGTTGCAAAAATGGTGAGTTTTTAGATAGGGAGTTAGGGTGAACTTTGAGGACCTCACTGGTCAGTCACCTGGGTCACCTTACTGCAGTCCGTTGCCTCCAATTTTGTTTATTCGCCCTAAAAACCCTGGTTTTGTAGTGAATCTAGTCATTTTGGGGTATTTACTATGATCAAGGCATGGAATTTCACTTTTTTTGTTGGTGCATGTTGGTGCAATCCTGTTTCCCTCCAGCTATTGGTGTTTGCTACGTAACGTATTGATACTTATAGTAGTTACTTGGTCAAAATCCAGTGTTCGCTATACATGATTATACCATGATTACCATGTTAATGTCAAGTTAGGATTAATCAACCCCTCCAGATTAATCAACCACCACTGCCCCAAAATTGTTTGGTAATGAAAAAAAAGGTGGTCCCCCCAGATTAATAAACACTTTGGCATACCCCCGATTAATAAACCACCAGTGCTGAAATCTCATGTTTTTAATCCAACATTTGTTTATTTCCAATTCTTTTTTTATCTCATCAATCTCAGAACTCATCATTGTTATACTTAAGGTTTAAGTTGATCATTGAAAATTTCAAAAAACAACTATTCCGCAAATGATCGATTTCAATTTAAATTAATTCTTTATACAAATCATCAGTTTGGATAGCTCCCAAAGCGTACCCCCCATAAGCCCATGTCCCCCATTAATAATAACCAGGGTTTGCCCTTTATTAATCAACCTCCTTTCCGATCCATGAAATTTTAACAATCAAATCTTATCAAATCCAATGGAATTCTATGAAGATCTAATTGACGTAAGCCATATCCAAAGTTTTATGGTTTAGAAGATGCTTATTCCCCACATTGACGTGTGGGGTTTTTGTTTTTAGTTCGGTATCCGCTCCGCCTTCTTCTTTTTCCTTCTTCCTCTTCCTCCTCCCTCCTGCCTCCTGTCTCTCTCACACACACAGCACTCACACAAATCACACAGACACACACACACACTCACTCACTCTCACACACACACTCATCACACTCACACACATCAGATTGCCAGCAGTTTTGTGTCAAAGCGCCCTAGGATTAGACCAACGAAACACTGTCATTGACACACCCAAACAATGATTTAAGCAACATAATTCAAGGTCAAAACCAGTCTGAAGAACTAGGAATTTGCCCCCCAAAGAAGTGTGTTCACATCATTTGAGATAATTTCAAGCTGAAAGACTTTGGAGATTGACCGGCCGAAATGTTTTTTTTGCCCAACAATAGCATAAAGTGTCAAGGCTTGGGACTTTGGTTGTGCCCCATACTTAAGCTACGTTGATTTGTAACCACAACCGCTAGGCACTATGGATGTTTATGGTAGATATCACATGATATCCCTTGAGCCAGAACTTACAAGTGGGGAGGCCCACCTTGTATCTTCCAACATGTCAATGGAAAGAGGGATTTATGGACGTATCCAACGAAACAGGCGGTTTAACCAGCAGATAAGGGGATTTACTTGGGGTAATCTATCATCCAAAATCTATGAATGGGTGAGAATAAACGACAGCTAGCCGAGCTCCTTTGATACCTTGGGGATATCTACTATTTTTGGGGAGGCTTAGATAAAGGGTGTCACGGGGTCACCGTCCAAATCCATTGTTTTCTCCATAAATGTGAAACATTGTGAAACAATCCAGCACTAAAGCGGAGCTTATCCAGTTTGGTATTTTGGGGGGGCAGACCAAATTTGGTATACTTGAGGCTTTGAATATGAAGTCCGCTTGATTGGATAATAGCGACCTTACTGCGACGCCACTGTAAATGTTGGTTTGCGATGCAAGAGAAGTGGTGTAGCCTTATTTCAGGTTAGTGAGTTATTAAGTTTATCGAGATTCTTGTTGATGAGGAAACAGCGTCCTCAAATTACTCTCCAGTACCCTCTGGTAATTTAACGTAGCTATTGAAAATGGCCATTTATAGTTGATTTACCCATTAACGATGGTAATTTTCGATAGCTATGTTAGTTGACCAGAAGGTAAATTAAAAGTTTGCTATCGAACATGGCTCAGGAAGATGATGTTCCAGTTTCAGGCACAAATTACCAGAGTGGACGGGCGACAAATTACTGTACAATTTGGTACTTTATAGCTATGGAAACTCATGAACTAGAGTGGTAAAAACCACCATTAACATCCATTCGCTATATATTGTTATGTCCTCTATATCCCCTTTAAACTATGAGTTATAAACTCCATCATATTTGATAGTTCATGGCTTTCGCCAGGAAATTCACTTCTAGTTATAACCACCAAAAATGCATTGTTACATATATTAACAGTTAATTATAAACTCCAACTATCCATTAGCATCCGTTAATTTTTAACTATGGTTATCTCATGTTATATCCCCCATAACCTCCACTCTCAGATCATTTTCCGTGGGAAATACCGGAGGCTCTCCTTGCGCTTTGCAACGCGCCGCAGTTGGGGGCAATTCGACAGGAACAGCCAGTTCTGGCACAGGAGGAGCTTCTGATTCTGGCGCAGCCTCCTTAGGAGTAGGTGGCGCTTCCAGCATAGGCTCCTCAGGAGCAATCACTGGTCCAGGCTCCGGAACACTGAGAATATCCATCTGAAGGTCCAGGCTCCGGCTCAACACTGGGAATATCCACTGCGAAAGGTCCAAGCTCCGGCTCAACACTGGGAATATCCACTTCTAAAGGTCCAGGCTCCGGCTCAACACTGGGAATATCCACTTCGAAAGGTCCAAGCTCCGGCTCAACACTGGGAATATCCACTTCTAAAGGTCCAGGCTCCAGCTCAACACTGGGAATATCCACTTCTAAATCCTTGCAGACCTCTTCCATGGCTGCATCTGTCTGATCCGGAAGCTCAGCCTCCTCCTCCAAATTATGATCCTCACCCTCATCAGCAGCAAAGTGCGCTGTGGGATCAGGCTGACAGTCAACCTTCCCATCATTTGGGCCATCATTGTCATTGTCATGTTCGTCATCGCCATCTTCGTCATCCTCTGGTGGTTGACGCTTTTCCTTTTGGATTGGCCTTTCGGCTTCCCTTTCGGCTTCGGCTTGGCCTTTGCTTTGGCAAGCTTAGCCATTTTTCTCGCTTCTGCTTTTTCCTTTTTCGCCTGCAGGGCAACCAAGTATACAGATAATGACAACAAACGGAAATAGATCCAGAAAGAAATGATGCCCCCAACAAATTCCAAAAATTAACCGCCCAGCCTTTGCTTCTTCAGTTTTTTGATTCAGCCATGCTTGCCATTTCTGTTGCTTCTTGAACTTGGCAGACTGGTCACCGGTCGTTCTTCTTTTTGAGATCCCGGTACTCCATTCTCTCATCAAGATCCAGATTGTCGAAGAGGCAGTCAAGAAGGACAGATCTATTGTCCTCAGAAGTTTGTCCTTGCTTTGTTTTTTTTTCATCCGCCTGAAGCACAGCTGCAACATACTCCTGGTCACCTTGGGACTCTGCAAGCCTCTGTAGCAAGATCTTCCGGCTGGGTTTTTCGTTGCCTCGACAAAGCTGCAAATGCTGACAAACAATCAAGAGGCTGTTGTAGACCAAGGCCGATGGTTTGTAAACCAAGGCATGCTTCAGCAACGGCATGGCGTCGTCAGTCTGGACAATGGTGAGGCCAAGATCAGGATCCCACGTGGCGCAAGATGGCACCGCCGAAAACTCATCCAGGTTGTGGATATGGAGCCATGTGGCCTGCCCATTTGGGTCTTCGCCACCGCAGTCTAGACAGCACCCTGCACAGCACCCTGCACAGCACCCTGCACAGCACCTTTGCCAGACTTCGCCACCGCAGTCTCTGGCGTGGCAGGCGTGGGACTTGGTGCACTGCCAAGGGGTCGGATGTACACCCTGGCGTCCCTTGGTCTCCGCCGCTCTGCCGGTGGCTTTTGCGTGGCAGGTGCGGCACTTGGTGCTCTGCAAGGGGTCGGATGTACGCCCTGGCGTCCCTTCGTCTCCGCCACTCTGCCGGTGGCTTTTGCGTGGCAGGCGTGGGACAATGTGCACTGCCAACGGCTCGGATGTACGCCTCGGTGGCTTTTGCGTGGCAGGCGTGGGATGATGTGCACTGCCAAGGGCTCGGATGTACGCCACGGTGGCTTTTGCGTGGCATAGAAAGATGAATGAATAGATAGAAAGAGAGATAGATAGATATATAGATAGATGGAGATGATATAGATATAGATATAGATATAGATACAGATAGATTTAGATAGATATAGAGAGAGATAGATAGAGATAGATAGAGATAGGCAGAGATAGATAGATAGATGGATGGATGGATAGATAGATAGATAGAGATAGATAGAGATAGATAGATATAGATAGATATAGGTAGATAGAGATAGATAGATATAGATAGAGATAGATAGATATAGATTGATTTATTTAGATATAGATAGATATAGATAGATATAGGTAGATATAGGTAGATATAGATAGATATAGATATAGATAGATACAGATAGATATAGATAGAGATAGAAAGATTTAGATAGATATAGATAAATATAGATAGATATAGATATAGATATAGATAGATATAGATAGATATAGATAGATTTAGATTGATTTAGATAGATATAGATAGATATAGATAAATATAGATAGATATAGATAGATATAGATAGATATAGATAGATATGAGCCACCGCAAAAACCCCGGCAATACTAAATATGTATTGGACGGACATTGGTTTATGGAAATTGATGGAAATTAATAAAACCCCACGGTAAGCGATGGGACCTTCCCAAATTAGCAATACCCCTTTTCAAAGTTATGTCATTGTATTTCTCTCATATCCACATTAGCGATACCCAAATTGGACGTTGATTTCTGTGAATTATTTAAAACAAAATGTAGCAGTTTCCTGCAAGCGATACCCCCCAAGTTTAGCATATATCATTATTGTACAGACGTGTGGTAAGCGATGGGACCTTCCCAAATTTGTGGATGTCCTTTCCGTGAACCTAGGGTTTTCGAGATTGCTCATATAGATAGATATAGGTAGACATAGGTAGATATAGGTAGATATAGATAGATATAGATAGATATAGATAGATATAGATAGATATAGATAGATATAGATAGATATAGGTAGATTTAAATAGATATAGATAGATATAGATGGATACAGATAGATATAGATAGATATAGATAGATATAGATAGATATAGATAGATATAGATAGATATAGATAGAGATAGATAAATAGAGATAGATAGATAGATTCAGATAGATAGATAGATAGGTAGGTAGATAGATAGATAGATAGCTAGTTTAGATGGATGGTTGGATAGATGGATAGATGGATAGATGGACAGATGGACAGATGGATAGATGGATAGATGGATAGATGGATTGATGGATTGAATGATTGATAGATAGATAATATCACCTCACACACATACACATACGTATAACATCACATACACCCGGTACACATATCGTTAACACACTACCAGAGTGACGCACCTGTACATGCACACACATACATACACACAAACTCACCCACCATCACCCCTCCATCACTCTCATACTTCCGCTTCCCTTGTTGCTTTTCTGTGCTCAGTCTAAGTCTGGAGAAGTTGTTAACATGTGGGGTTATCCGGTCCTATAATTATTAAGGTGGGCTCCACAAGGTCTACCTAGACCTATAGGGCGGGGGGGTTATTCATCCGATGTTGGCATTATACCCAATGTTTGCTGGTTTAACCATCCAAGAAAATCCAACTTCCATCAATTGACCTGGCTGATGAGGTGTTGAAGATGCAGCAGCAGAGACATGAGCGGCTGAGAGAAATTTTGGGAGACCTGGCCCCGCGGCAGCTCTTACAGTAAATGGTCCCTGGGGGTGAATTGTGTGCATTTTTACATACGAATATATAGTTGTGCACATATATAATTCCATTTACTGCAGATGTACAGTAATTAGTCTCAAAAAAAAAAATCATGACATTTATTGATAGTAGTAATAATGACAATAAATGAGGATAATAAATGATGATAAAAAAATGTTTTTGCAGTACCTGTTGCCTCTTTGTAATTCTGGCCATACCAGATGTCCTTCTTCGAGGCCGGGAGCTTTGAGGATTGGCTCTGGGCCAGGCATTGTTACCTGTCGAGGAGTTTCGACCAAGCCGCTTTCCCCAGGCGGGGGGCAGCGACTCAGGATGAAGGGATTTGGCACTTTGATGCGAATTTTATGGTGATATGTTGATTTGATGGGGGATTTACAAGGGTTTTATGGTGTTTGCCTAAATAAATATTTATATATATAATATGTTATATATATATATATGTTATATAAATATTCTACCGTAACATATTCTAAACACATAATGGAAGTTAATGGAATTTCCTTGCAGGCTCATCTCACGACTCGTGACTGGTTTGTTTTTTTAGGGTCCCGGGGACTTATGATCACCCAGGGCTACTTATCACTTACTCAGCGGGAGGATCCTCCAAGTAAATGGTTAACGGTTAACGCATCATTAAACACTTGTATTAGGACAGTTGGGGGTGGTCACTGAACCATTAGTCAGCCAACAACATCATATTGTTGGTGATATTCTCATATTGTTCTGTGATATCCCCGCTCTTGATGGCTAAGAAACCCCTATTCTTGAGGGTGTCACCATGTGTCACCCTTGGGTTGGCTCTCCGTGACTTGGTACCCGACCTGAAGCATCGTGTGTCGACTCCTCAAACTTGGTTCAAGGCTCAAACCGACTAACCGAGCGCCCATTTGCTCATCCTTTTCCCGTCGGCAATGGAGACCCTGAACATCAACGATGGCAGCACCATGCAGATCACGCGCTTGCCGGACATTGATGACGAAACCTGGGCTGAGGTGAAAAGCTATGTGGAAGCCAACCCAGACACGGCCAAGGCCCTGCAGAGTTTCGCCAAGAATCCGGATGCCATGCGCGGCTGGCTGCAAACCCAGGCCATTGCGGAGCACTACAACACCAAGCTCTCCAACGGTGACACGCCGGTGCAGGACAAAGTGAAGTCTCTGGAGTCAGATGCAGAGTTGGGGCCCATCTTTGAAGATATTAAGAAGAATGGCTTGGAGGCAGCCATGAAGTACTACCAGGACATATGGTAGATTTTGCTGAACATGACATGTTCTTGGTATTTTGCCATTGGGAATTCCGCCAGAAAATGGGAATCTACTGGGGGAACACAAACGAAACGTTCCTTTTTGATGGTCCCCTGGGTTGCCAAGAATCGCTTGAGGATGAGGAACTGATGCTGAAGATCAGTCAAAAGATGGGAGGTCTGCCGTCGGAGCTGAACCCAGTCCTGCAGAAGATCGAAGAGACGCCCATGACGATTCACGAGGCGGCGAAGCGCGGCGATTTGGCCAAGGTCCAGAGCTTTTTGGAGAAGAAGAAACCCCTCGATTCCCAGGCTTTCTGGGACGGGTGGATGGACTAATGGATAAAATGAGGGAGATTGATCTAGTTTCAATTTTTTCAATGTGTTTCAATGGAAAATTAGATGGATCTTAAATGAATATTTGAGCTGGCTGGATGATGATATGATATAGATATGGGTTTTGACACTTAGTCATATCATGTCATATCATGTCATATCATGTCATATCATCAGCAAGGACTACAAGGGCATCACCGCCTTGGGTTATGCCATCGGTGCCAACCGTATCGCCGTGGTGAAGCTCCTCTTGGACAGCCGTGCCAACCCGTATGCTGTAGACAGCTCGGGCAACAGCGGGCTGCACTATGCCGCGGGCTATGGCCGAAAGGAACTCTTGGAGTCACTGGAAGGAGTTGAAGGGTTGGGGTATGGGGAACATATTTTAGATTGTTGATTTTTTAGGCTGTTCAATAAGGTGTGCATATATATAATTAGTGTAGAATTGTGGGGTTTTATTTGGTGATGTTGATGTTGTTTCCGACCCCAGCCCTCCGGTTTTGGCCAGTCACTTTTTGAGGTACCTGTTGAAGGTGGGCGCCAACGTGAATCAGCCGAACGCTCAGGGTCTCACACCTTTAGGTGCAGCCACACAGAATCGCCAGGAAGCCACTATGGCGGTCTTGAAGGCCCATGGTGCACAGTAGAGACGGCCCCAAAAAACTTTTGGGGACAAACCAGCTCCCACCCCAAACATCGCAAAGAAGATCCATGGAACTGCTGCATTTCATGAGGGGAGATGTGTGTAGGTGTCTAGATTGTGTTTTTTTTTAGAGCTTCCGCCGTGTGCGATTGCTGTGAACCTGCCTTTTTGAAGCGGAGGGCATGTTGAATTCCAACCTTAGCCGCGTTAGCTCAATTCTTGAGCACTGGTACACCCTATTTCAGACAAAAAAAAGTGTCTACCTGGATTTCCTTTGCCAAAATCCTGGCATTTATTTGGGTGTTTACAGGCTCCATGCCACTGCCATTCTTGCAGACTACATCCAGAATTGACTAAGTATGACTTGGACAGGGCACTTTTTAGGGACCCCTCGGAAAAGAAACGTGTTATGCTCAATAAGCCAGATAGGATAGGATTCTTGGATTTTCTATACTAAAAATGTGTGTTTCATTGTTCCACTAAGATAATAATCGAACCTGTTTTCCTGGCTGCCCCTTGTTGCAAAATAAGTAGGTGGAAACAACCCCACAAAACACCAAGCAGTTAGGATTCGTGCCCCCCAGTTCTAAGTTGGCTTATGACTTCATGTAAGTATGCCACAAGTGGGTCAAGCTTGGTTAAATAATTTCGTGCTTTAATCTTTTGCTATCAATGGTAAAATATACAAAGCAGTTATTAACCAGCGAACGATTATATTTTTGACAAGTATCTAACCCAGATGCTCCATGTATGGCATATTTTCCTACATTTGGGTCATTTTGGTGGTAAATGCTGGTAAATATTTTATACATGGAGCATATGGGCAAGATTCACCATTGATAAACCATAGTTTCCCATCTAGTTATTTAACATAGCCATGGAAAATCCATCCATTTTTAATAGGTAAACCACCTTTTTCTATGGGCCATCTATGCCATGGCTATGTAACAAATAACCGCAGGGTAAGCGAGTTTTTACAACCAACAAAGAGCTCTCCCTGGAGGGAACCAGCCTGTAGGATCTAGGGCTTGGTTTCTCCAGGTCCGAAGATTGGGGTTCTGCTGCCATGGTTCCACTCTTGGACTCCATGAATCACCATGCAGATGCACAAGTGCAGGTGTCTCGGGAGGGAAAAAAAGGGGCATGGCATGGCAGGGTGGAAGGACTTTAATTTCACCTAAAAACATGTGAACTGTAAACCATGGGTGCTTTTTTGTTGTTGGTTATTGTTAGGGTTTGACATGAATTAATGTCTATAGTTACTCTATAGAATTAGATTTAAATACTGAATGCGAGCACCACAATGTATGTAAATGATTGATGATGTATGTGCTTATGTATTGCGTTATTGCCGTGGTTCGAATGTTCGTTTCGGAAAACAACGGGTGCCATGTTCGAATGTTCGTTTCGGAAAACAACGGGTGCCACGGGGAAGTGAAACACGCAGCGACTAGGCACGCTATGGAGAGGAGATGGCAGGTGCCGAATGGTGCGCTTCGGGTTTATCATGTTTCATACCAATGGTGAGGCAACCGAGGATTACATGGCAGAGCCTATTGAATACGTTGTATATATATATATATATGCATATTTATAGTTATATATATATATATACACATACGTATGTATATATATATATATGTATAATGTAAATATATGTGTGTGTGTGCGTTTGTAAATTTTAAATATATATATATATAACTGATATCATATATATAGATATATATATATATATATATGTATCTCGAGTTACGATTCAGATGACGTTCGATCAACGCCAACGGCACAGGTTTGTGGCTCCCCAACTTCAAAAATTCCAATCCCTACAACCCGGGCGACGAGGCGTGACTGAAGCTGACCCCCGACTCATGTGCCGGATCTAGTGGCAATGAAAGAATGCCATCAGCAAACATTATGAACGACTATAATCAACTGGTTGCCAGTCAAATTATAAGGTCCGGAACAAGGTCCGGGACCACACCTGTCCCATACCCCCGTTCCATACCCCCGTTCCATACCCCCGTTCCATACCCCCGTTCCATACCCCCGTTCCATACCTGTTTGAAGGATCCGTTCCATACCTCTGTTCCATACCTCTGAGCCATACGTTATGATATATATATATATATATGTATATACGCATTATTTATATAAATATATTTATGTATATATGTATATATGTATATTTGAACATGTGCAGTCTGATTTGACATTTGTACGCACATACTTGAGCGCACATACATACATGAGTGTGTGCATGCAAGAATACGTTTGCTATGCCCAAGCCCTGTGATTGTGTTGGCAAGTCTGTGCCTGCAGCACTTCCAGCGGCTACCTACTTTGTTCTGTGATGGTAGGGATGTGCTTGGCTGCTGCTAGCTGGCAGTCTAAGAATGGATTGCTCGTAACCCTCCCTCCCTCTCAACCTGTGGCAGGTTCGCGCCTGCACCACTTACATTTGCTGCCCGCTGTGGCACAGCTGTGATGTTTGATGGTAGAGATGCGCTTGGCTGTTGCCAGCTGGCAGTCTAAGAATTGCTTGCTGCGCTACACTCGCTCCAAACTGCCAATTTTGATAAAGATGTGCTGCGTGGTCGCAGGGCTGTGCTGGAGTGGGCCGTTTCGTCCCAGACCCCGTTCCATACCGTTCCATATGATCATTTGTCAAAAATAGTTGTTTAGAAGTTTAGTATTGGCTGTTGATAATTCATCTGGGTCTACTGTTTTTTCCTCTTCGTTATGAGGCGGCACGCAACTAAATTCAGCAATTCTGCAAGGCAGCGCTAGCAAACCCGCTAGGTTTGCGCTAGGTTTGATTGACAGCCATGGCCTCCATGTCGTGAATGTCTTGCCAGCTTTTCTTACAAGTCTGTCAGTTTCCACATATTCCCAAAATTTCGATTTTTTTTACGTATTTTACGCGCTAGATCGCCGCTAGCAACGCGCTAGCGAAAATTGCAAATACATGCCCCGGTCCACCCGCAGCCCATTCAGAGGCACAGCCATGTTCACGCTTTGGTAGCTTACAGTAAGGAAACAGCGTTGATCAGGAGGCATGTCAAGAAGCATATTGCATTCAGAGAGGCACACACACAGAGACACAGTTCAGGAGATAGTACTGTACCAGCGACAGCGAATGAAAACCGACGTGCGTTAGCCGATTCCTGTGGTTTTAGAAAGATTTCCAAAGGTAACGAAGAATTTCCACGTTTTCACGTCATCAAGGTAGGTCATGTTTTTTAAAAAGGCAAACATGAGGCGGCACGCATGGAATTGCGATTTATCAACAAAACCGGGAACAGACATTTTGACAAACCGTCATATCCGTTCCAGACCCAGACCACCCATGTACCACCCCTGACCCACTTCCGGGTGAACAAATGGCTGGTTCTCACATAGACTGCTGCTGAGCCATCCTTTGCACGTGGGTTATGTGAGCCTAGAGTCTTGCTACTCGGGGACATAATCTACCCCATAGGGACCTTTGAGTTTTAAGAGTATGAGGAGGAGGTGGGACCTGCGTGACAGGTCTGAAGCTGAGTGGACAGCTTCAAATAGTAGCCAGTGGGTGGCGCTGGCTACCGGTTGTGTCCTAGCTAGTGCGCGAGCACTAGCCGGCAAACCTGCGTTGAACAGGTGTACAACAAGGATGCCGTGCAGATGAAAAGTGAAAATGAGCGGCAGCCAGCGTGAGTAGCTTCAACCTGCACATCCTTGAGCTGTATATTATATACATATTAACAGTATACATAAAATCATATATATATATATATTTATATTTATGTATAGCCTATATTTCATCACATTCCAAAGGTCCGGAACAAGACCAGTTACGAAGCCCCTTCGTTCCATACGTCCGGAACAGCACGGAACGTTTCATACACCATTTTGATTCACAGCCATATATATATATATGTATATATATATGTACATATATGTGTTCAACATTATTCAACACAAAAAATGACCACATTGATCCAACTTGCCATGTTTGTTTTTTTGGTGCGAAGCCCTTGAAATCAAAGCTGCTGGGCCAGGTTTTTCACCGCTACAAGAGGTGTGCGGACAACGGCACCCTGCTGCTGAGTTATGGATTCTGTGTACCCCAGAATCCCCATGACGGAAGGGCAGGGCTGTTGATGAACAAGATGAATGACCGTATACATGTGCATCATATATATATATATAGATATAATATAATATATGTACATAATGTAGTAAGCCCCGAAAGGAGAGTAATGTGAGTAATCACCATTGTATGGTGATTTTGCTTTTCTTGCTTTTTGGCGGTTGCTATATACCTACATATTTATTTTTATATGTATAATTTATGTATGCATGTATTTGTATATGTGTAATGTAAATACTTAAATACCTATTTACCTATGGATATGAAGAAGGCTAGATAGATAAAAATGTGTGGTGGGTATTATGGGTATGTAACTATGTATGCATGTATGTGGAAAGAGCTGATGAATTGCATAGATTTGATACGGATGTGGTGACTCAGCGTTTGCTTGTTTGCGCAAATTCTTGGTCACACATTGATGATCATCGATGTATTTGTTTTTCGGCCCACTTCTAGGTGTAAATACATTTTCACATCCGACCTGAAACTTACTTTTCACAGATGTTTTTTCTTTTTTTAAACTGTATATATTACTGTACACTTCAAGTTTGCGTAGCGGTGTCATGTTTTTTGAGTGCTCATTATATACCTATCATATCCCGTTGCAAAATATAATATCCAAGTGGCCCGTTAAAATCTAGAATATCCATCTCTATACCATGATAATCCCCATATATGATTAGATAACCAGAGTGCTTCCGGAATGGTATGGATGAGATGTTCCCCTTAATTTCCAGGTTTCCAAACTTCTGTCGTTTTGGGGATTACTACAACTATGTTACGGCATCCGGTATCCCAATCATATCCCATTAAAACATCATAATATCCCATTGGCTGGTTCAAATCTATCATCCATATCAACAATGATAATCCACATTTTGTTGCTCTCTGGTAAACTAACAGTTTGCTATGGAAAATCACCTCTTTTTTTTGGGAAAATCAACTATAAATGGCGATTTTCAATAGCTATGTTAAATTACCAGAGGGTAGAGATTAATATATCCCATCTGATCCCATTGGCTGGTCAAATCCGCTGCAGGACCATGTCGACCGTGTGATTTTCGAGAAAGACCCTGGTGTTTCGCTGGCAGCCCCTAGGAGTACAACGGATGAATTGTTTTTCGAGGTATCCATAACTCGTCAAGTCATGTCAAGTCCTGAAAACCGTTGTAATTTTGGGTGCCTGGGTGGTGTTTATTGATGTTGGTTTGGGTATCTAAGAACTTATGACTTTGACATGTGTATTTTTTTAATGTATATATATATATATCTCTCTCTCTATGTGTGTGTGTGTGTGATGTGTGTGTGTACGCACACACACACGGTATGAAGAGTCATGGTTTCATCAGCATACTTGTAGAACATTGTAGAACAGGTACCACTGAGACATGACATGTCAACAACAACGCCACATCAGCAGCTGGTGCAAGCTCTCAATGTTCAAGTGAAGCTAGACTTATTACAGATGGTGCCTCCCACAAGATGCCAATCTGTTTTCCAGGCTGGTAGCCCAATTATATATAATATATGTATTATTAAATATATACCTCGTAATTCCAAGGTTTGCATCGGTTCTATCTATTTTCGGGCTGCTGTCATTGTTGAGAGCACCTCGCTTAAATATGTTTCAATGCGCATTCCTACCGCACATCATGACTGGAACGATGCATAGATTGCGGTGAATCATCCCTGGCCACAGGTGCCAGCTATTTTCAGGCAGATATACTAGATAATATTATGTGATGTATTTTCCAATGTCAACACATGCAAACACACACATAGATATAGATAGATATATACATAATTACACACATATTCATACTCATATACATGCATGCATGCGTACATATTTTTTGCATTTGTAACATAAATGTACAGTTTTGTACACATACATATATTTTCGGTATGTATAGATAGATAATTAGATTAGATATATATATATATAGATAGATAGATAGATAGGTAGGTAGATAGATAGATAGATATATTAGATAGATTAGGTAGATTAGATAGATTAGATAGATTAGATACATTAGATAGATAGATAGATAGATATATGGATAGATAGATAGATAGATAGATAGATAGATAGATAGATAGATAGATAGATAGATAGATAGATAGAGAGACAGACAGATAAGATAGATAAGATGGACAAGATAGATAAGATAGATAAGATAGACAAGATAGATAAGATAGATAAGATAGATAAGATAGATAATAAAGATAGGATAGATAAGATAGATAGGATAGATAGGATAGATAGGATAGATAGGATTGATAGGATTCATAGGACTGATAGGATAGATAGATAGATAGGTAGATAGATAGGTAGATAGATAGGTAGATAGATAGATAGATAGATCGATAGATCGATAGATCGATAGATCGATAGATCGATAGATCGATAGATAGATAGAAAGATAGATAGATAGATAGGTAGATAGATAGGTAGATAGATAGATAGATTAGATAGATTGGGTAGGATAGATAGATAGATAGATCGATAGATCGATAGACAGATAGATAGATATGTGCGTGTGTGTTTCTGTAAAGATGTAAAACTTCTTCTTGTCTTGTTTGCCCACTACTTTGTTCAGAGACTTCACAATTTCATATGGCAGGGGGCAGTGGCCCACTCATGAGTCCACTGCCAACGAAGCTACTCATGGGTTGGGAGGATATTGGGACTGATCATCCCGACGTACCTGCAGAATTTTACATTTATGACGCATATGGCAAGGGGCTAAGCCAAGAACCCCAAGAAACAATGGTTTCCTTCACGGTTGCCTCAATCTGGTATTTATTCTACCTCATCGACATGGCGAAGGGCTAAGCCGAGAACCCTACCGCGACAATTCCTATCTATTTATTTGGGACCTATTCTTTTTCAACGTCATGGCAGAGGGCTAAGCCGCGAAATCTCACTGTACAATTTTCATTTGTTTATTGGTTTCGGGATCCACTTGATTGCGGTTCCGGTCTTGATTGTCTTTTCAGAGTACATCCCCTAACTCGAATGTTCTTCTTATGATTATTGTTGTCCTGTCTAATTTGCATGTGAGAGGATTCAGTTCTTGATGGATCACTTAAAAGATCCAACTTTATCTAGTGTGATTCCTATGGTGACTTCAACAAGGTGCCATAGGGCCAATGGAGGCAACCCCATTGTGGGTGCATTTTGGCAGACCTGATTTCGGAATTGATAATTCGTTTATGTACAGTGCAACAGTTGGCCATCCCGTTTACCAGCCCTTTTTGCGATGTCCTGCTGCTCCTGTGGTCCTTTTGAACCTTGGTAATTGCACCTCTGCTAATGTGATGCCGTCTCGAACTGCCAGAAGAAACCTTTTCTTTTTCATCAACGGAGCTTTTGAAGTGGCACATGAGCAGGACACAAGAAACATTCACCAGGCAGGTCCATGCTTTCCAGGTGTGGTTCTCTTTCTCTTGATGGTTCGTTGGTGAGGTACAACATATTTGCACCTAATTCATTGGAACTTGCATAGCCGTTTGGGCCATACCCCCAAGTTGATCCTCTATAAAATGCCGATGCTTTGACTCTATAAAATGCTGTTCCGGGACCCATTTTATAGAGGACTGGCTTGGCCGTCTATAAAATGCCCCTCCAGAGCTCCCTATTTTATCATTTTATAGAGAGCTTCCTTCCCAGCATGAAAGATGATAGAGAGGTACAAGACGTTGCAGATAGATTATGCATTTTATAGGGGGGATTCTTTGCAAAATGTTACCGTCAAAAAATAAGTACCACAAATGGCTTTGTTGGTAGTTTTTTTTGGGAAAACATTCATATAAATGCATACTTAATAGATAGATAGATAGATCTGCACAAATTTTAACATTTCACTATGGTACAAAAGCAACTTTTTCTTGTTTACAAACCATAAAAGTGACATTTTTCATTTTGGGTTGATTTTCTCCAATTGTGTCTCCCCTTTCCTGCTCCCCGTTGTGTCTCCACACTTCCGGCTGAAACCTCGGCTCGCTGGCGTTTGTCGAGTCGGGGTTCGGCCAACGCGCGCGCGCGTGTTTAACGCGCGCGCGCGCGTTGGTGGAAAGGCGGAAAGACTGGGTTGTTGCCCGATGTCGCGCTGCGTGTTTTTGCACACACGTCTGCGGAGAAGCATTTCATAGAGATGACGGAGAGGTCATTTCATAGAGGGTTCCCACTTGCTGTCTGGATGTTGGCTGACGGAAGACCATTTTATAGCCAATTTTCTCTATAAAATGCTTCGTAAAGCATCCTAGGGAACAAGTAAGGGGTATTTTGGGCCCACGTGGCATGACTTGACTTGACAACGTACCCGGGTGGGATTAACGCACGACCCTCTAGGTTTGAACTGGGTCCTCTCAACTTGTTTTTGTTCACCAACTATTTCCCCATTCGGTCCCCTATTTCATGCGTTCTTCCCTCCCCAGGTAGGTCGGGTCCTGTGCGTGCCGAGGTAGGCGTAGGTTTTCGCCTTGTTAGGTTGGTTCAGGCGCTTCCGTCTTCCCCCCCTCCGCTGGTCTTGTTCCGTGTCCGTCGGCCTCCGTTTTTCTCTTCTCTTGCCCTTTCAGGGTTGGCCCGCTCCGGGCCAGGTGTGTTGGTGTTGGTGTTTGCTCTTTCCCTCTTCTTTTGCGCTCCCCTCTTCGCGTCCTGGTTAAGTAACTTTCACCTCATTGTCATTCTCATCTCACTTTCATTTCTTTCATCTTCACCTTCATCTCATCTGTCCGGACCTTAATTCCCTCACCCTCCTGCGGGAGGGTGTGTGTGTGTGTAACATCTGTAAAGATGTAAAATGTAAAACTTCTTCTTGTCTTGTTTGCCCACTACTTTGTTCAGAGACTTCACAATTTCATATGGCAGGGGGCAGTGGCCCACTCATGAGTCCACTGCCAACGAAGCTACTCATGGGTTGGGAGGATATTGGGACTGATCATCCCGACGTACCTGCGGAATTTTACATTTATGACGCATATGGCAAGGGGCTAAGCCAAGAACCCCAAAAAACAATGGTTTCCTTCACGGTTGCCTCAATCTGGTATTTATTCTACCTCATCGACATGGCGAAGGGCTAAGCCGAGAACCCTACCGCGACAATTCCTATCTATTTATTTGGGACCTATTCTTTTTCAACGTCATGGCAGAGGGCTAAGCCGCGAAATCTCACTGTACAATTTTCATTTGTTTATTGGTTTCGGGATCCACTTGATTGCGGTTCCGGTCTTGATTGTCTTTTCAGAGTACATCCCCTAACTCGAATGTTCTTCTTATGATTATTGTTGTCCTGTCTAATTTGCATGTGAGAGGATTCAGTTCCTGATGGATCACTTAAAAGATCCAATTTTGTCTAGTGTGTGTGTGTGTAAATGGAACCATTTGTACGGAAATACATTGATGTGGAATGATGTGGAGATATCCCCCGTTGAAAGATGTGGAGATTCCTCCAACGGTTGCCCCTCCAGGCCCCTTGCTGAGGCGCTGGAGGCAGCGCTGCCGTTGCCGCCCGAACGCTTGGCGGATGGCCGGGTGCTGATACCTTTGGAGGAGGAACGTTGCGGCAAACATACCGTTGGGATTGAGTGGGTTTGACGTCAGTCCCATGACAAAAAAACAAAGGAGTTTGATAGTTTGATCTACCATCACAAGAGGGTATTTAAACATGTTTAGAATGGTTCAGACATACGCGCACGGGGATTTGTATATGCGCACGGGGATTTGTATATATATATATATACATACATACATAGCCAACAAAATAATATTGACATATATTAGTCATCCTCCCAAACGGCTCATATTAGCGGGAATGGATTACATTCCAGGACGCTCACCTCACATGAAATGAAGATCACTGACTTTCGTCATAGTCCCCATTCGGTATGACTGGGAACCACAGGGTGAAATCAACCAATTCCTTCCCACCGACTTACCACGATCACGTTTTTTTTCCCCTTGAAATCGTGGGATGGATGCCCTTTCTTACTCATATAACTTCGCATAGGAAACAAATCACTTCAGTTTAATGGTGCTGGTTATTTCTGGTCGTGAGTCATGAAAGAGCGAAATTGCCTACAACCTCCCAGGCTTGGTTTGAACATGCCCGGGAACAATATCAATACATATCACAATTGATGGCAACAACAAAGTCGACAAAAAAAATAAAACTGTAGATGTTCCTTTAAAAATTAATTTTGTCCATCCATTTACCCCGCAATTTGATTGTGGTATATATATATATTATTATATATATATATTTATATTTATATTTATATTTACTGTATATTAAGAAAAAAACTGATGGGTTTCTGCTGCATGACCATTTTTTGTGTGTGGGTAAGTTATGCCGAAAAGTGTCCTCATACATTCCCCTGTTCAACACCACTCTGGTCCCCAACAAAATCACGACGTGACGTCACTGGAATGATGGGAATTTCTGAATAAGGGACATCATTCCAAAATGGTCGCCATTATCCGCAGGGAATCATTATGATTCAGCCAGATGGTTCATCAAGTTGTCCCATGAAAATCCAGAGGGTGTTTTTTTTTGAGGCCCTTAAACTACGGATAAAAACTCAACATGAAAAATTGGAGAAACCCACGAATATTGAAAAATCATGAAAAAAACATAGAAAACAATAAAAAACATGTGTTTTTTCATGACAAATCCACCAGGAACCCTCCCGGAGGCCTTGACATCGACCCTGGCGGAGCCTTCGGAAGAGCTGCTGCGTGCGGCGGCGCTGGTGAATGGACAGGACTATGAGGAGATCCCGGAAGGCCACCATGGTCCCAGGGGAAAATGTTGGATTTCGGCTAAAAATTCTGATGAACAACCAGGATTTCAGATGATTTCAGGTGATTTAGCCATGAACAATTTGGGATTTCAGATGATTTTGCCATGCGAAATGGAGATTTCAGGTGATTTATGCATCATAGATTGGGAAGAAAACCTGAAAACATTGAATTTAAGATCGAAGATTTGGAGTCTAAACCTTAAAGAATTGGATACACACACACATATTAATATATATATATATATCCATCAAACAAAGGGATTTGAAGGGTTTCGGCCATGAATAACACACATTTTAGCGATGAAATGAAGATGATACAACTGCTACAACCCACAAATGATGCTTTGTTGACTTGGGGTTGAGATTACCAAGCAGACCTGACCCTTTTCTTTCCCCCCTAAAGGACATCAAAGAAACCATAAAATGGTTAGAGTTTTCTCCTCTTGCCATCCAGGAGAACTCAGCCAGTTGCCATAAGAAGGCACAAGTGTAGCTTGGGCATGCAGTCTACCTCCAAGATCCTCCGACATTGCCATGGGCTAATGGCCCCCCGCATTTGTAGGGTTGCTGCGCTACTTGCCCCTGACCCTATAAAGTCAGTCTCACCTGTTGAGATGGCGATAGAGAGATCGACAGAGCGAGCGAGCGAGCGAGCGAGAGAGAGAGAGAGAGAGAGAGAGAGAAGAGAGAGAGAGAGAAGAGAGAGAGAGAGAGAGAAGAGAGAGAGAGAGAGAGCGAGAGAATGGGGCCCATCCTAGCTTGGGAATGTGTAGATACATTCGTGCTATTGGTCATTCCTCCTGTCTACTGTACCCCCATTTCAGGGAACGTCATGATGGTCAAGAAGAAACAACCACACTGGCGATGTAGGGCCCCCTAATGGGGAGACAAAAATGTTTATCAAACCATACCTGTAAACTGTAAACCGCCCACTTCTGTGTATGGCAGGTTTTGTTCAAACCCAGCACCTCACATGAAATCATTCTATCATCAAAAAATATCAGGGGACAACATATTGAGTAGTATATTGAGTTGTTCCGGCAACGCAGGTAAAGTCTGCACTACACGTTATCGGACAAATATTAAGCAACGCGGTGCTTTTTTTATTGACAACATGCTGTTGCGTATAGTTGCACACATGTACCAACAAGTATAATCAATTAAAAACATCACGCGAAAATCTTACATATTCCTACAGGTATGTATCATGTATCCATCAAACAAATATGTTGTGGTCGTGTTTGGCAGCCAAACGATTAGGATCTGGCAAAGAACACACACACATACACAGGTACACATCATTGATTTGTCTAAAAATAGGCTATCAGGCTATCCTCAAGGCTATTCTGCACTGACATGTTGTGTCAATCCATAGTTATAGACCCGGGATCAGTGTGTTTATATCATCACCCCAGTGACCCGTCCTTGCTCCAAGGTGCCATTGGCTTCTGAAAGCTTTGCGTGCAATGATGCAGTCAACCGCCTTTGAGGTTGGACCGCAGCGATGCAGAGACTGCTTGAGGGTCATAGCTGGGAACCTTTTTGGTTGCGGCCACACATGCAGGAGAGGTGGTACCAAACGGAAGATCAAGTGTTTTGCAATATCCAAGATTGGCCACGACAGCTTGAAACTGGGGGAACCAACAAGCTCCAAAGATCTTCGGGTGTTTTTTTTTGTTTCGGACTTTCTGTTTTTTTATTTGTCCTTCCGGTTTTGACCTTTCCAACATGACTAATGCATTTGAAGGATTCCATGGGGCTTCTGTTTTCAGACCTGCCTCAACGTCCAGTGATTCTAGTACCCATAGGATCCATGTATGCTATATATGTTAACATTTACCATCAATATACCCCAAATGTTAGCATATATACCATACATGGATCCTATGGGGTATGTTCTGGCGCTTAATCCCTGTAGGATTTGGAATTTGAATGCTTCGGGAGTGACGGAGAATCTCTCCACCAAGATTTCAGATTGACGGCACATATCTCTGTCTTGTTCTGCTGGTATCGTGCATGTTTCTTAGTTTTAGATACTTTCAAGATTCATTGTATGCACTCCATAATGAGGAGATCATATATATATATATATATATATATATTTATTTTACACGGCATATATATATATACACATAAACATGCATATAGCACCCCAAGAAAGATAGAAAAGGCATATCCAAAACAAAGTAATTATAGTGAAGAATTAAATCACCTTTCAATTTATATGTTTGAGTTACTAGACTATATCTAGATATATATATATACCCTCTGGTCCAGACTCTGGTTATTTAACATAGCCATGGTATAGATGGCCCATAGAAATAGATGGTTTACCAAACTTAAAAATGGGTGGATCTTTCCATGGCGAACTGTTAGTCATAACCAGATGGTATATATATATAATTATACATCTGAGTGCGCAGATGTGTACTTCTATGTTCGTCCCATCGAGGTGCATCCGAAGTTCATGGCCCCGGAGCCCGGAGTTCGAGGTGGATTTCTGTGGAAAATGTTGGGCGAAAAAAATGGTGATTTCACCAACATGGTTAAAGTCCAGGGTTAATGTTGGTTAATGTTGGTTCATGTTGGTTATGCCAGTATTATATAGTCAATGTCCAGGGTTGCTCCAAGTTTACTTCCATTCTTAACCATGTAGGGGGCCAATATCAGGCTTGCTCAATTATTGATATCAGGTACTGAGACTGGTAAGTCATCGCAACTGGGGTAAAAATGGGGGGTCATCACCCTTCAAGGCCTTTGCTTGTTGGTTCAATACCTGATGACCTCACCATTGCTCTGGCTGGATGATCATCCAAATCATCCAGGTCGGGAATGCATTTGGTCGCAGATCTTGTGGCCGGACCATTTTCGCGAACATCAGTCTGACTAGAAATTCGGCCAAATCACTCAAATAAACAGTTTAGGTACATTTCATTACATTTCTAGTTGATGGTTTGGAATATGTTGTATTTTTCCATATATTGGGAATAGTAATCCCAATTGACTTTCATATTTTCAGAGGGGTAGGTATACCACCAACCAGAGTTGTTATCAATCATTATTACCCATCATTAACCATTATCAATCATCATTATATTAACCATCATTATATAACCATTGTTCATCTTCCTGCGGGATAAGGCCATGGTCAACTCGTCGGGCACTTTGGGCCGCTTCGCGAGCCGCGTGGCGCGTCATCGCCTCAAGGCTCCTCAACTGAAATGCGTTGGTGGTCCGAGCCAATCTGCGGATTTGTTTTGTAACTTACCAGGTGGATGTACAAAAAAATCGCAGGCAACCATGAAATGGTGATAATGATGGGTTACCCTCTGGTAATTTAACATAGCTATAGAAAATCACCATTTTTTTTATGGGAAAATCAACTATAAATGGCCATTTTCAATAGCTATGTTAGTTTACCAGAGGGTAACTCAAAACTGTTGTATATATTGAGCTGTTCATTTTGGCTTCTGCAATGCCGTAGGTGATCTTTCAACAGCATCCTCTGGAAGATCCTTCATAATGTGAATAGCAAATCAACTAGTTACATAATATTTTAATATGTGGAGGTTTCTTAAAATAGGGGTACCCCTAAATCATCCATTTTCATATGATTTTCCATTATAAAACAACCATTTTGGGGATCCCCCATTTATGGGGGGGCCCCATAATATTCATATAATTTAACAACATCACACAACAAAAAAAACACTGCTCACCTTTTTCCAAGCGAGAAAACACAGAAAACTCATTTGGTTGGTGGTTTGGAACATTTTTATACATTTTTGATTTTTGCATATAATATATATATATATATATTTATATATATATATTTATATATATATATGGAAAGTCATCATCCCAACTGTTACTCACTCCATCATTTTTCAGAGAGGTTCATCAACCACCACCCAGGTGATGACCCGAGGGGTCAGTCTCAGCGATGGCCTTCGCGCCTCCCAGGTTCGCCATGACTCACTGGGCATCTCGGTGCTTCCCAGCAAGGGCCATGCGAGCCGTGCGGCGGCCCCTTGGATTCTGTTTCTTCGGATGTTTTTTTTTGGTTAATGGAGAATACCCCCTGGTATCATGGGATTTATGGTGATTTAACCGGATTTTATAGTGATTTAATGTGATTTTATAGTGTTTTATGGGATATTTATAGTGATTTAATGGGATTTTATAGTGATTTAATGGGATATTAATGGGATATCCTTTGGTAAAACATACAAAAAACTATTGAACATGGTGATTTATAGTGGATTTACCCATTAAAAACGGTGATTTTCCATATGTGACAGTTTACCAGAGGGTAAGCCTAGGAATTACTGGATTCATATGGTTTCATGTGGGTTGATGGATCTTGATTTTTGATTTTTTTGTTGTTGGGTCAATCTGATTTTGAATGGTTATGATGATATTGATGCAATCACATGGTGATTTGTAAACCCTATGGGTTGATTGATGGAACAAACCAGCATTCTTTTCTTTTGGGATCTTTTGGGGAGGTATTTGGTGATTTGATATTTGCGAATATTTATATTGATCATTTGTCGACCCCTGGTGGTTTTTATGGGGATACTGTCCCGTGTCAACAGCAGATGAAATGCTACTGTATATTCTTGGGAAAAACCCTGAACCATTTTGTCAGGAGTTGTACCTGGGTGATCCCACCCCAAACAATTAGCATATTTATTGGGAGATCGTCCAGTTGGTGGCACTCCCATCTTGCCAAGAATAACTTGGCCCCATCAGGTCCAGCTCAAAATGAAGGCAACCTAATTGCCAACCCCCAAAATGGAAGAATTACTGTAAACACATAGCAGGATATAATCAATTTACACCAATTTACACACCATTCACTAGCTTTTCCTCCAGTAAATTGACATAGACCCTGGCAGATGGGGAGTGGAATATTTGTTTCAACTAAGAAAATGCTATGTTAATTTACCAGGGGGTACCTTAGAGACAGGCAACCGGGGTGACGTTACCTTAAGATTTGGGGATTGTTACATATCTATAATTCTATACATATTTGACAGGCAACCGGAAGATGAGGGATTTATAATGTCCATTTGCGCCAAAAAGAGCTGGATCATCCCGCAGTAGATGTGAGTGCACTCCGCCACTGCAGGCGGAGTACGCGCTAAGTCACTTCCGGATCTTACACCGAGTAGCTACGAATGTCGGGATTCCGGGTGGGAGGCCTTGTGTGGCTACTTTAGCACATTGACCTTACTGTATAACTGGAATTTATACCAACCAGCTTTTGAAAAGCATGCAGTCTATCCGAGATTGGCCATGATTAGTTATGCTCAAGTGTTTGCCGGAAACGGATAGACATGGACCATGGATCGTAGACACTATACTATCCCCATACCATCCCCATACCATCCCCATGTTGAAGTTTCATTCTTTGGTGTATCGGCAGCTCCAAGCCGGGTTCAAACCTCCTGGGCTGCGGGAATCGAAGCTTCACCACTACCACTGCTTTACTCGTTGATTCTCTATGATTTTCCGGTTGGCATCCGCATGGTTTTACAAGTTTTGCCAGTGTTTTGCTATATATCGATCTATATGTGCCATATGGTGTTTTGCAGTGTTTTGCCCTCCGCAGTCTCCTGTTGGATTTCATTCAGGTGAAGGACATCGCTGATATGGCCGTCCTGTCCGCGCGAATGGAGCGATCGGGACGTAAGAGAAAAGAGCGCGCTCGGCAGCGCCACAAGCTGTGCCAACAGGGAATGAATTTGGGGATGTCTGAGAATGGAGTATACCCCCAAATGGCTATTTTGCTGGGGAAAATGATGATAATCGAATGGATTTGGGGGTATTTTGTTTTCAGTCGAACATATCCAAACCCACTGATAGACACGCTGCCGTTTTGCGTTGTTTCCGAAAATTTCCATCAGGAATGTTGGATTTGGAGTTTCAAAGATCGATTTGTTTTTCATTGTTTACCCTCTGGCTATTTAACATAGCCATGGAAAATGGTCCGTTTACCTATTAAAAATGGTGATTTTCCATGGCTATGTTAGTCATAACCAGATGGTAATTTTTTGGTGACCTGCTTGGTGGAAATCCCTTCACGCTGGACCTATCGACCTAGTGAAAAAAACTCTGGTAATTTCAGGCAGCCACGGAAAATCACCATTGGTTATAGGTATTATAAATCATTGACGTAAATAGGCCATCTATACCATAGCAAGCTATTAAATTACCGAGCGCAATGTTTCATGCCCAGATTGTTTGCTATATAAAGTTGCTGCTTCATCCATAAAGGTCCAAACACGAGGTCACAGAGGTCATGTGGGTTCCAGATAGGGATGTGCTGCTTCGCAATCATACTTGATTCGCCATTCTAGATTATGTGACCTCCCCATAAGAAGTGCCTTTTTCATCAAATTCTTCTCAAACTGTTGTTGTTGTTGTTGTTGTTGTTGTGGTTGTTGTTTGCGTATTTACGCAAGTTAGCCTTGGTCCGTCCATCACGTTGGTTTCCTACATATGTTCTGTTTAACAATTATTAGCAAGGGGAATCATCCCCAAAGTTGCTTGTTCCAGATTTCCCCCCGCTGTAGGAAGACCCCCCCCATCAGCGATAAGTTGGTTAATTGGTGGCTGAATTATGTTATTCCATCTTGCTAATTCTTGCTATAGATCCAACATACAGTATTTACCATAGAACCAATCGTTCGTCATTACCTGGTTGGTGCTTTGGAACATTTTGTTTTTTTCCATATATTGGGAATGTCATCATCCCAACTGACTTTCATATTTTTCAGAGGGGGTAGGTATACCACCAACCAGATTGCTATTAACCATCATTAACCATATAATAGCCATATATTAACCATTATTAACAGTATATTAATCACATATATCACCAACCAGTTACAGTATGTCTGTAGTTATTTCAACCAGCTTATAGTGGTGAAGGTGGTGCCCACTGACATCATCTGACATCCAGTGGTGTTTCTAAAAATAACCGTGAAACAAAACTCATTCGATATCTCTACCAGAAAGCCAACGGTTTGTTTGCCTAGTTAATTTATGTTAATTTCATCTTATTTCTAACCAAACTTCATCAACGAATTGGAGAACCACCTGTAAACAGAGGGCCCCCTGCCAGAAGTTTCAGCCTTGGGACCTGCCTTCGGTGCAGGACTTGCCGAACAAAAGCAACACCACGGCCTATGGCTGCGTGACGAAGTGCTTGAAGAACCTGTCCCTTGGCATTGCAGGACTTGCTTGGGAAGCCACCTTTTGGTGCTGAGGGTCTCACCCCTTTAAGATTCCACGAGAAGGACTGAAGGTAAAATAAATAGTGCAATGGTTTCTACCACCAAAAGTTCAGACACCATGCAACACACCTTTCTTGTTTCAAAATAACAGCTGCCTCCCTACTGCGCTAGGGAAGAAGCACGGCATCGACCCCTTAAAGGAGACATTCATCATCGATCTCCGAGATCAAACATGTCGAGCCGGAAAATCTGGAAAATCCCTCGAAATGGAAGTTGTTTATGGTTGCTTGATATATCATGGATTCTCAGTTTAGATATGTTTAGATATATAATATGATGGGAAAATCATTGTCATCTCTAAATTCTGTGATTTCCATATCTTTGTTAATCTGCATCTACTGGAAGCTAAATCATTTGCACGCGAGCGAGTCATTTTCAATTGCTTTTGGCGTAGATTTCTTTCAAAACATATGATTCATATAATGTCATATAATGTTGATTGTTGAATGTATGCGCATGATTCTGTAATTGGTATATACGGCATACATTTTCTACAGTATGTTGGAGTGGTGACACGGTGACATCCTTTTGGATGGTACCCCAGTGAGATCACAACCATGACTGGCAATGAGTCATGGGACAGTCATGGGAGGAAAACCTTGGTGGTTTCTCTGAAAATAAGGTGCTCCCTAAATTTGATGTTTTATCATAATGTTTTCCTTTCAAAATGCATTTGAGGGTAGACAGTATGCTCATGTATGTTCCTTTTTCCAAAAATCCCAACTATCATATATTGTTGCTTATATCATGTTATGTCTCAATGATACAGTAGAATCTACGGTATCCCTATGGTTGTTGGTGAAATCATTTTGGATCCATATTTTCCCTACTGAAACCATCATTTTTCTGACTCAAAATGACCATTTGGCCTAGTTAAACCACCATTTTCCCTAGTCAAACCACCTTAAACCCACCATTTTCCCCAAAGAAAAACACATTTTTTTCGACCCAAGGTCGGCTTTGTGAAGAAAGCGGAGAAGGCCAAGGTGGACACAAGGCGGGATTTTAATGAATATCCAAACTGCTTGATTTGATATATTAAATCTCAGTGAATATTTAAATCATAAACCACTATCCTGAATGGTTTAATCAATATCTGTACTATACGTTGTAATTAATATGAATAACCGGGGTTTTTCATGTTTACACATACATGTTTCTTCAGATGTTTTGTGAGTGACCTCCAAAAAATCAAATGTCAGTTTCATCGGTAAATCACAATTTGTGATGGTGAATTCCGCAGTGCCAGTGGGAATTCGGAAGGGTCTTTGACTCATCATGGCTGCAAAATGCTCAAGGACCTGTAGCAGCTATAGCATGATGAAACATCTATGAACAATGATGTGGCAAACAGGAGGAAACTATATAAGCAGGTGCACCATTTTCAACACAGATCCAACCTTTGAACTACTTCAAAAGGATATCATACATATTTTCAGCACTTGCGACTCCTTTGTTAGTGCTGCTGTGAGCAATTCCTTTCAAAGCTTCAGCATCATTCGGTGCGCGTCTTCCACACAGGCTGGGGCGGCATGAGGCGACACAACACTCCTACAGGAAAACCAAGAAAAAAACTCGGGAATGACCATATGGGTGTGTCTGAAAATAGGATATTTAATAGGGAAAATGATGATACATACCTGACATACCATTTCCGTATTGAATACCACATTTTGGATTAAACGATGAAAAAGACGAATAATAAACTATGATACATTAATGTTTTTTTTTTCCATTTGGGGTTCCCTAGGTTTAGACCAAATGAGCATGAACAAAAGACCCAGCGACCATGGATCACAGCGCATCAATTGTGTTGGATATCCTGATGTATTTGGCTGGTGACCATTTTCAACACCTAGCAGAACTGGACAGATATTAAATGTACACTGTATGCCAGCTTGCAAATGTGAGTCGGAGTTTTCTAAACGACTTGGCAGGTTTAAAGCTGCTCATGTTCTGATTAACCCAAGAGAGAATGGGGATTGCTCCTTGTTACAATGTATGTCAACCTCCCTAGCACCTCACAATGATTGCTAAGAAATGGCGGCTTGGCTTTATCCATTTTTATCCCATACCCTCTGGTAAACAAACATAGCTATTGAAAATGGCCCAGTCGAAATAGTGGATTTACCCATGAAACATGGTGGATTTTTCCATAGTTATGTGGCTACGTTTACCAGAGGGTAAGTCTAGTTTCAGACATGACGATGCAGACTTCAAGGTGGAATCTCCTTTGATCATCCCAATGGAATCCCCAGAATGATCCGAAAAATGGCCTGAGCTTCTGAGGTCCTTGCAATGGCCACTGTTACTGAGGAGATGCAGGGATAGGATGCCAAGAAACTTCAAGAAACTAGATTTGATTTACAGTATTATAAATGGATTGTTTATGGGATTTTTAAGGGATGTTATGTTTTTTTTTTTCTGGGATTAAATGGGATTGAATGAGATTATATAATCTTGGTGAATTCTAAGGATCCAGGGATTCATCCCAAAAGAGAAGCCTTAAACATTTCAGGCCGGTGAATCGTCAAAAACCCAAAGCGGCCAGGAGGACTAGGTTTTTTCGACCCAAGAGTAGAGAAGATTGCGAGCAAAATCATGTACCCTCTGGTAATTTAACATAACTATGGAAAATCACAATGTTTCATGGGAAAATTCACTATAAATGGTGATTTTTCATAGTCATGTTAAACTACCAGAGGGTAAATCTGTTTCGTAACTGGTGAGCAGCTGGGCTACCGGGCTACCACCCCCTCTGTAAGCGGGATATTTCATTACCAGACGACTTTAGGTATCATTCCATGTTTAATGACCCAAACATTGGTAACTTTTTGATATATAATCTATCTGAATCTATCTATCTATGAAGGGATTTCTCATGTTTCCTCTTTGAATAGATGATCTTTCTCACATCAGTTGCAGTTGCCACATGTTTCATCCAAGGACTACGTGCCTAGACCCTGAAGATTGTGAAGAAATGACATGAAATGACGACTGAACGTGTTGAACATATCGTCATGACCAGTTTTGGCTAATCTTGGGATCTAAGATGATCAAAGATTAGCCATTCACAATTGAATATATGTTTTGAAGAAAAGCATGTTCGCGAAAAAACTCCGGTAGATATTGCATTGCGAACGGTTCTGCTTGGGGTTCCGGCCCATATTTTTCTCTCCTGATGTTCAACATGGAGCCCTTTTTTTTTGGTCCAGTCAGAAGCATTCTTGTTTGGCTATGGCTATCAGCTCTTTTCAGTGCAAAACATGTTGCCATCTTGGCGATTCTGGTGATTTTCATTAGTACTATATAAACTTGTTACTAAACCAAAACCAAGTGCATACAGCAAACCATTCAAAAAACATACCGGTATGAGTTTCCTCTAGGATTTCAGGGGGGTTAACCCCCCTAAGGAGGGAGGCAAAAAACATCAAAAAACCGTGGGGTGAACTCGTTGGAGCATGTTGGAGCCATGCCAAGAAAGGCTTTTTCCACTCAGATTGCCCAGATCGGCAGGACATTCAGCATCAATCCTCCGGTAGCTCTGTCGAACGCAACCGCGAGACGCTTCGACATGAAGCGTGAAGCGGGAATGATCCACTGACATCAGTGGTGCCTGGCAACAGACATAGTATACAAATGATCTCGATATAAATGATGCATGACATACGATAAATGATCAATAACATAAAATAAGTTATATTATATCAAAATGGTTGATGTAAATGGCTTCCATGTCCATCCTACAAGGTGGGGTCCCCCCTATAGGGTTTTTGTTGGGGACCGTATCTTCGTGGGTATTACGCCATGCATATATTGATCTATTGGATTTTGGGCTAAACTAAAAAAACATCACTGGGGCCACGACCTTGCGTCATTTTTGATTCATTTTTGTTTGTCAAATCTTAACACATGTTCATACTTGTAGTAACTATATATATATATATGTAACTATTAAATTATATCCCGTATATTCCTAAAAATATGCATGGTCCAATGGCCGGTTTCCACGTGTTTTTGTTTTCGTTGTGTCCCAGGCCAGCAATGGGCGGCTATGGCACCTTGGTAGCTGGCGATCGGGGAATTCACCAGCCGTGGGATGAATTGGATGAATTAGGTAGCTGTGATCTCTGTAAAGAAATCTATTTCAGCATATGGTGTATGGCGCATAGTTGGGTTGCGTCCATGCCATCAATGTGGGTGAACATCCATAGCTGGAAACCATCAGCCGGAAGGCCCAACCCCGCATGAGGGTTGCAGCTCCATCGAACAATCCCAGGATTGTTTTTTTCCGAAAATCTGCAGGAAGCCTGTCCTTTTGAGGTAAAAAACAAGGTTTCCGGTCGGTTTTCCCTTAGATCCATTGAAAGATTTGTTCAAGTTCGATAGAGCAACCATAAAAGTCAAGTCAAGGGCAACATTATTAAACATCTATAAACATACATAAACATCAACAGAACAAACTCACCAAGTGTTGTGGGGGGGATGCTGTGGTGGCCTGAAAAGCAGGCTCCAATCCAGACGAGTGCATCAAGCTGCAGGCACCAGTGCAGGCGATGGGACATCGTCGGAAACCATGGATTTAGTGTGATCTATAGTGGAGATATGGCTGATTTGTGACAACTAAATTGGCCTATAAATGTTTATAACATTTTATAACTATATATATATATAATATAAATACATAATGTATATATATATATATTGTGTATATAGATATAGTGTGTATATATATATATATGAGCAAGGGTCAAAAGACGCTATGAAAGGCTTCAATTACGATCCGCCATCACTACTCAAAATATGTGATTTACTGTGTGTAGCGATAGGGGGCCTTATGTAGCGATACCTCTTTTTAGACTTTGTTTATGATTGAAGCTTCCTGTTGGGCGCATGACTTTCCAATCTTTTGATGTCAGAATGCGACACTGGAGCAGTCGCAGTGTGCTGGTCTTCCTGGGTAGTTGCAAGATGGCCTGTCGTCAAGTATATATGAGATAGTTACATTAAACAATATTGATATATTGGGGTATGTTGATCTATAAGGTATGCAAGAAACTAATTCATAACGCATCATGAGCTTGATGATGGTGATGATGCTGATGATGATGGTGATGGTGATGATGTTGATTCAGATAGTGACCGTGCTGAGATATGTTGAAAAAGCATCCTTGTGCGGTCACGGACGCTTCTCCAAAGCCACTGTCCAGGAGTAGAATTGCAACATGGAGCTTGTCAGAATTTCGTGTCACTTGAAACATACACCTGAGATCACACATTTTCTGGTCCCCGTAGCGATGCCCGAAGCGATACCCCTCGATACCCAGAGCGATACCTGAAATCCATGAAATTAGGGAGTACCCCACATGGTCACTTGAAACTATACAACTTGTGCTATAGGTGGAAAAATATGGGAAGTATGAACAAGGGTACCCTCAAGTTCTTACTGGGTTAGTTCTTAAAGGGTTCATTTGGTCAGGGTTTTGCCGATTCATTTTGGCGTGGTATTAGGTTGCAAAGGAGGCGGGGTGAAGAAAAAAAGGCGCCGGAAACAAGGCAGCACAGGCAAGACAAGCCAAGACAAGCCAAGACAAGCCAACACAAGCCAAGGGCAGCCTCCGAGGTCAGATGACCTGCAGTGAGTCCGGCTGGTGTCTAGCTGAAGCTGTCGACGTCAGCCTTGGTGATCAAGTAAAAGTTTGAATTTCCCTGGAGATACCATCGCAAGGGGAATAAGAATCCGATTCCTCATCTGGATCCTCCTCTTCTAGCAGCAATTCTGCCTAGTTGGTGAAAAGGGTGCTGGGACTGTGTGTAGCGATAGGGGGCCTTATGAAGCGATGCCATGACCTCACCACATGAATTGAGTTTTGACCGTCGCACATATAGTGTATATAATATATTTATATATAGTGTATATGTATATATAGTGTGTATATACATATATACATATATATTTAGTGTGTATATATATATAGTGTATATATATATATTTATGTGTAGTGTGTATATATATATATATATGCATAGTATATATATATGTATGTATAGTATGTATGTATGTATGTATGTATGTATATATATATATGGTGTGTATATATATATATACGCATATATGTGCACATCATGGCAATTAATTACAGTGAAACACCATGGATTATGGTGGATATAGCTATAGCTGTTGGGGTTTCGCAAAAAAAAAACACACAACTAGGGGCACCGCCTCGTACTGTACCTGGCATGAGCAAGCACTGAAATGATAGCAAAGTTAAATATGCTAATGAAATAGTGATGAAATCATGCCGTTTCAATATGTTTAGTTTTAGATGCTGCTACTATAGCTACATTGATGTTTGTTCGGATGTTTGGGGAGAGGTTAAACGATGTTACAGTACAGTCCTTTCTATCTCGGAAATGTATGCAGTGTATACCCCATAGTCAGGAGTCATCCACTTAGCTCCCGACATTATCCCAGTGTACTGCATACTTGGATTCTAGAAATGTGATTGTTGACTTTCCCATTGGTTCATCCACTAGTTGGATAATCTACCTTAGTTTTTTTGTCGTTGTTTTTTGGCCGCCCGTCAATCATTTACGTATATAATAATTATATGTCAGGGTCATTCAAAGACTGCTCATTCTTGCAGTTGTCCCTGGTACTTCTAGTACTTTCCAAGTTATTTTGGAAAGGTAGGATCAGTATCCCGTTCATTCCCAGCCCAACAGCCCAAGCCCAAGCCAAAAACGCCACAGTTGGCTCCTGGCGAGATCAAATCCTTCATGAGCGAAGCTGGTTGCGCATCCGTATATCTCAAGGTCCCGAAGCGGGCGGGGGGATATGGGCAAACCACCAATCCATTGGTGGAGGCGGGAAAATCACCGGAAACCATGGGGAAATTCCCAGGTCCGCGGTCGGTCGATCTTTCTGGATTTTCTGAATCGATGGGGAAGCGGTTCTTTTCCCTAGCTGGGACATTAATTACCTGGGGAAGCGATTAGGGAATTGTGTTTACCCAACCTGGTTATGACTAACATAGCCATGGTATAGATGTCCCATAGAAATAGATGGTTTACCGAACTTAAAAATGGGTGGATTTTCTATGGCGAACTGTTAAATAACCAGAGGGTATTCTTTTGGGGGTTCCTTACGCAAATCCGTTTGAGTACCCGAAAAAGTGTCATCAAACATGGCTTGCTCGAAAACCCACCATTTGCATATAACCATCCATTTAAAGGGATTTCCCATTGCTATCTTTGATTGCCGGATGGTGACACAGAACAAGAAATGTTGGATGCGACTCCTGGCAGCGTAGCCCGGTCATGTCCAAAGGCAAGATTTCACCCTGGGACCTGGGATATATCCCTAGTGTAACTGCAACTGACTAAATGGCTCAGAAGCCCCTCCTACCGGGACCGAATGGAATAGCATATTTACTCCAGTTCCTCCCTCTCATATTGAACTTCGTATTTCGCTGGCTTTAACATTTTGCTAGTTGTGTAAACCGGTTGCGATGTGGTTCCCCCTAGTTGTATAATGTTGTATATCAGTTGGTTTACAAACCGCGCGAGCTTCAGGTACATATGCATCTAAAACCACTACCTAATCTTGCTTGACATATACTTCTTACCCACCTTTAGCTAACTATATGGGGCACCACGTTGAACTATAATATAGCATTTATCTAACTCTAAGATACAATCATATACATAAATACAGATACACATTATGACAATGTGGGAAACCCCAGAATAATTCGTCCTGAATAGAAAAAACCGACCCATGGTCGGAGATCGCCAGGGCACAGAGCATGGAATGCCCGTGATGTTTTTGAAGGCCAGGGCGGGCGGGGCCCCGCAGGGGAGAACCATGGCAATTTTCAGGCTGTTTATCATGGTAGAAATAATCTAGAAACTGGTTCTTTTCCAGGGATATTGGTGAAATTGCCCTTTTGCTATCAGCAAAATGAAGTTTAATTGTTTTGAGATGTTTCAATAGCAGTGCCGAGCAGTACCAACTATTAGTAGGACCTAATCCGGATATACGCAGCAAAAATGCAGAAGCGGTGGCTTGAAATCCAAGGAGCAACTGCCCGAAGTTTCCGCCAATTCAAACAACGTAACTTCATGTACCCTCTGGTAAATTAACATAGCTATTGAAAAAATTGCCATTTATAGTGGATTTACCCATTAAAAATAGTGATTTTCCATAGCTATGCTATGTTAGTTTACCAGAGGGTAACTGTGTTTTTACCAATTGGTCGTAATTTTTGAGACGACGCGGCTCGACTCAAACTTCCGAGGCTTCAGAATCACACCGAAAACCTCTGCGGCCTGAAAAAAACCGGAAGTTATGGAAACTATTCAAGCTACCTCGAATCAACCAATTTTCGGCCAGTCAAAATTGTATTATTCATTATTATGCCCATATATTCCCATTTTTTTTGGCGAGCGTTGCCCCCAAAGAACTTTTTTTTAAAAAATGTACCCTCTGGTAAACGTTTACATAACTATGGAAAGATCCACCATTTTCAATGGGTAAATTCACTATTTCTATGGCCATTTTCAATAGCTATTTGTATGTCATTATCAGAGGGTATATCCATCAATATCCCATTGAATCACCATAAAATCCCATTAAATCACCATAAAATCCCATTAAATCACCGTAAGATCCAATTTAAATCACTATAAAATCCGATTAAATCACTATAAAATCTCATTAAATCACCATAAAATCTCATTAAATCACTATAAAATCCCATTAAATCACTATAAAATCCAATTAAATCACTATAAAATCCCATTAAATCACTATAAAATCCCATTAAATCACTATAAAATCCCATTAAATCACTATAAAGAGGGTAGTTCGTCTTGAGTCAGCCACCAGCTAGGCCGAAGATGTGGAAATCACCGAGGAGGCCTTGCAGAGTTCTCTGCGCGCCATGTCTGCCGTGCTTCAGGCAGGGTGTGACTTCAAGGGCCCCTGTGGCTTATAGTTGTCTTATTTACCTACATTTGGGTCATTTTGGTGGGACATGTTGGTAAATTTTCGATACATGGAGCATATGGGTAAGATTCACCATTGATAAACCATAGCTGGTTGGTGGTTTCAAACTTTTATGTTCCAATATTTTCCATAATATGTTAGGGATAATATGGGATAATCCTTCCCATTGGCGTTCATATTTATCAAGATGGTTAAAACATGTTAAAACCACCAAGCAGTTGTTCTATATCTTTTTTGGAGCTTTGGAACATTTGGCTTTTATTTTTCCAGATGCTGGGAATGTCATAATCCCAACCGACGTTCATATTTTTCAGAAGGGTAGGTATACCACCAACCAGTTATAAATGGGATTATTATTGTACATAACCTTAGTTATAGGAGTTATCTCATCCCATTTCTAACTGATATTTTTCAAGATGGTTAAAGCCACCAACCAGTTGTTCTATCTTTTTTGGAGGTTTCCCTTAGGATCACATGATCACAGTTCCAATTTAAGCGATTCGAGCAGGAAAAGGTGGACTTTGCCATCTGCTACGACTTGCGGAACATGAGGTGCCTGCTGGCCAAGGGTTGGCGAACAATTGCCGCAGATGGTGATGTCATCCGGCAAAGTATGGGAGAAGTGGGAGTAAAGCAATAGTTAATACATGTTCATACACATACATCCCCAATTTTGCCATGAATGGATAAAAATAGTGGTATCAACCATCAACAGGGGGGTGGTTTATTGTTGCTTGACTAACATTATGGAAAACATGGCTACTGTATGCCGTGGATAGCTAAGTCCGTTTGTCGTTGTAAGATGCTATAAGCTATCCACGGCTGGGATTAGGTCCAGAGTCGGATGGGATGGGTTTATAGACCACCAGTTGTGAACCAGGAACCGCCAGGTTGAACTATCCAGACAATGATGGGGCCCCAAAGTACTTGAAAGGGGCTTAAAACTTTGAAAAACTTCCAATCACATCCCAAGGTTGCGGTAAGTATATTTGATTATACATTCCCAATCAAATCTTAATGTTAGAACATCATAATTCATGAATTTAGCTTGGTTCCATCCATATACAGTCGGTTAAAGATCACAAATCGTAGTATATGTTGCATCGAACTACCACTACCATCATGTCTGATTTGTGTGATATGTTCAGGGCGCCCGGTTTGAAATATGTGTAAATCCTGGCCGGGAAGAAACACAATCAACAAAACGTAGCCCAAATCCAACACATGTTAATCAACCATACCGAAACAGAAACAGGAGGAACAAACATTTCAAATCATTGGTGTTCCTCCTGTTCTTTTCCAAAAGAACGCCTTTTCACCAGGAGACCTTCAATGAGTGACACTCGTGCTGCCATCAGCTGGATGAATGAGGAGGCCGTCCTGCCTATACAGGTTGCTGATAATTCGTGGCTTCGGGTTTGATTTGACACGATCTATTATGATATATTACTGTAAGTTTATGATCTTTAACTATGTTTAAAGATTAGTTATTATGTTTGATAAATATGCTGAATGATTGTTTGATATTACGTATATGCTTGATATATTTGATGTATGACCTAATCATACCTGAAAAAACACGAAAAGGCAACCAGCAACGGCCCGCCCTTTCCGCATACAATCGAGGTAGCAGTCGTACCGTGTCATGTTTGCAGCCACATTACTGGATGATAATGGACGATATTTCCTCACGTATGGGCCTTTCAAGGACTTTTAAGGTGTACCCTCTGGTAGATGAACAGTTGGACCCTGAAAATCACCAATTTTTAATGGAAACTAGTCTTCCAACCCAAAAAAACTGCCAGGGTCGAACTGTTAATTTACCAGAGGGTAACTGCACCTCCTTTTTAACGTCCCTGGAACTTTGTGTCAAGCAATCCAGTCGTCCCTGATCCATTCTACTTTGATTTGCGCAGGAGAATAGCGATCTTTTGGCAAAGCACGCCATGATCACCTGTGTTACTTGGAGCTTCCATCGGACCCCAAAGGTTGTGGTGAGTGGATAGACGTGGATAGACTATCCTTTGGGCCAACCCCGGATATTGCGAAATACCTGGGCTTTCTTTGGGGGGGTGAGGGGTGCCATTTCGGTAGCAGATTAACCTGCTAGTTAGTCAAATATGATCAATTATTAATATATTCATCAACCAGGGCTTATGATTTCTGAATTCGGGATTAGAATTACCCTCTGGTAAACTAACATAACTATGGAAAATCACCATTTTCAATGGGAAAATCTACTATAAATCACCATTTTCAATAGCTACGTTAAATTACCAGAGGGTATGTTGTCCATCATTTTTCAATGTGATGCTCTCGCACGACAGCCCCAAAAAAGGCGAAGCGCAGGAGACCCTGTGGAATAATTGGTTAGGAGACCAACAGTTTGGGGATCAAACCTATTTCTGGTATAGGTTACCCTCTGGTAAACAGCCACATAGCTATTGAAAATGGTGATTTATAGTGGATTTACCCATTGAACATGGTGATTTTCCATATTTTTTTGTATGTTTACCAGAGGGTAAACACAATTGGATGGTTTATGGATTGGATTTGCCACATTACCAGATCGAAGATGATCGAAGGATCGATTCTCCACCTACCGCCATGCCTTAAAATCTTTGCTGAAATCCGAGGCCTTTCAGGGTTGACCTAAAGATTAGAGTCATAAGATTTGCTTTGGATTCAACATGGATTGGATTTGGTTTTGTCCAAAACTCCGCCCGAAGTTCCAGAGGGTTATCTTCTGGGCCCAAGAAGTCTTCATGCCCTAAATATTTCTTGAGAAGGCATAGCTAGATCCAGAGGCCAGAGGGCTCAATTGCCCGCTTTCTGAATGCCACTTGATAATTTTTCACATAGCGAACTGGACAATTACCATACTTTCATAGGCACATCTATGGGCCATCCATACAACATCTATGTCGAATTACCCTCTGGTAAACTAACATAGCTATTGAAAATTGTCATTTTTAGTGGATTTACATGGATTTACCCATTAAACATAGTGATTTTCCATAGCTATGTAAACGTTTACCAGAGGGTACCTACCGGGCATTCCTCCGTGATTTTTTCGCCATTTTGGTGCCTCAAAAAACCGTCGACCACCTCAGGTGATGGTTGGTGATACATGGGCTGGTATGGCGATCAGCGGAGGCATGCTGGGCGTTTTACGCTTCAGGGTTTCAGCCACCTCGAACATGGCTCACAACAGAAAGATCCTCTATGGGTAAAAACATGGAAAAAAACTAGGCCAAACAAAAACTATAATAAGACAATACCATGTGGAAAATAGGGTAAACTCCTGTTTACATGCCAAGAATCCATTGAACCCATCCATTTTTATACCAACATCGACTCGGATAGCGTTGAAAGCATGGCGATTTGCGTTCTCGACCAGCGAGACCAGCGATGGGTGAACATGTTAAAATAATGCGAGTGCTTGCTACATCTTGCTACCCCAAAGTAAGCATCCCCATTCTGCTTGGTGATGTTCAGCTAGACTGTGGCTGCAGCTCATCCGGTAATAGCTTGGATATTTCTGGATGGCACGAGGTTCATCCCCAAAACTATTGTATACCCAAAACGATGGTATAACATATGGATACATATGGTATAAGGGTATAACCATGTTTGACTCATCAAATGTTTTGACACTCAGAGAGAGTTTTCTTGGGTGGATGGCGAAAGCAGGAGTGAAGCTCATTAAGAAGCTGTGCTCGCCAGCCAAACCCACCTTTGTCGTGTACACGGAGGCCTGGGCCAGCTGTACAACCCAAAGATTGCCATATCCAATAGGAAAAGCATCTTCCAAGACCCAAATTTTGAGTTTCCTTGCAAGATTTTGCGGGTGTACAATGTAAAATAGTGTAAAACATATTCCCCATGAACATTGCCAGAAATTCCCAGTAAATCGGTCCACGGTTTTTGGATAAAGACGGATGTGCTTACTCACTGATGAGAATCTATAAGAATCCAAACTGAAAGTTGGATTGAAATGGAAGATGTGGATGCTGACTATAATTTCTAGTCTATTTTCCTCATTTCCAATTCACTCTTTCTGATACACACTCCCAGCTGTGCCCGTGCATCCATTGAGACACCCAGCCTCCACAATGTGGTGCAGCCCTGTTACACTGTAAGTCCACGTATTTATTATATTTTACATATTCATATAGTTATACCTAGTATAATATATAGTATATATTAGTATATACACATTACATAACATTATAGTATAGCCATTATAAGCCTGTCCCTTGCCAAGTCTTCAACCTTTTCACTTTATGCGAACTACCAAACCCGGCCTTCGACTCAGTTGAATTCACCGCACTGGTCGTCCTGGTCATCCAGGAAGAACGCGATGACTTTTTGAAAGAAGCGATCTTGAAACACCTCTCCAAGTGTGACAGCAGGCGATCGATTGGGTGGGGTGGGTGGCTTTTCTTTCTCGATCCGCGAAAATTTGTGTAAGATGAAGGAGATCTTTGATAATAAACACCCCCGTCCGGGGTACCTAAATAGAATGGGGGGGCTGAAGCCCCTTTTAAAATAAAAAAATAAAAAATAAAATGAAAATAAAATGGGGTCAGACCCCTGCATTTTATTTTGTGGGTGCATTTTATTTTTTGAGGTGCCTAACCCATCAAGTTAACCGACAGAGATAGCATCATAGCAAAGATGCACAACTGTGAACGGCCTGATCATTTTGTGAAACGTTCCAGCGGATTCACGAACGCTAATAAAATGATAACGAAAACGATAACTTTTGGCATCAAAAATGGTTCGTGTGAGAGACTGTTTTTTTTTCCCCTTTCCTCTCCCTTCCCTTTCCTTTTTCCTGTCTCTTCCTTTTCCTTCTCCTTTCCTTTTTCCTCTCCTTTTTCCTTTCCTTTTTCCTTTCCTTTTTCCTTTCCTTTTTCGTTTCCTTTTCCATTATTTGGACATTAACTTCGAAAATGGGTTGGCCCCCTTCATTTTCTATTGCCTTCCTTGGTCAACAAAAGACACACGGGCAGCTTACAGCAGCCAATGAGATTTCTTAAGTTTATTTATAGTTATTTGTATCTTTTCTAGAAACCGTCCAGATGTCAGAAGTGGAACCAATTATATATAAACAAAACTAAAAAAGATCAACCAATCAAATAAGGAATCAATGTAAAGGACTAAACAAGACTAAAAAAGACTAAACATGGTTAAAACCAATCAAATAAGGAAACGATGTAAAGGACTAAACAAGACTAAACATGGTTAAAACCAATCAAATAAGGAAACAATGTAAAGGACTAAACAAGACTAAACAAGACTAAACATGGTTAAAACCAATCAAATAAGGAAACAATGTAAAGGACTAAACAAGACTAAACAAGACTAAACATGGTTAAAACCAATCAAAGAAGGAAACAAGACAAAACAAGATCAACCCAAAAGAAAATGCCGGGGCCCGAGGTCCAACAGTTGCATAACGTAGGTCCACCAGTGGCCAGGTGGAGGGTGCCGACGTCATTTTCTTTTTGTACCTGTCCATTGTATTTTGCTTGGGTTTTCCTATCTTACCTTATGCCCTCTCATTTTATTGGCATTTTCTCCTTAGGCCCCTGCATTTTATTTTATTTTTTTAGGTGCCTCACCCCCCCCCTGGCAACAGACGAGGGTAATAAACGTGGCCAGGGGTTATGAAGCCCTTGAGAACGTTAGACGGATGCATGGATTGAACGGATAGATAGATAGATAGATAGATAGATAGAACCACATATTTACGACAATATTTACCCAATATTTGGTAAGTTGTGGCTTGGGAATCTTGGGATGTCGCCCCAACTATCCGCCACTTGGCCACCGATCCTTCGATGGTGGCGTTGCTTCTCTCCCGGACTGTCTCACCCGTTTTGAGATGATTCACCATGAAAAATGGTGATTTTCCACAGGTATGTTAGATTACCAGATGGTGAATTAAGTTGGTTTATAGCAGTTTTAACATGTTGTAGAATTTTGTAACCCGGTTAACGGGCCAACTAGGATTTATGGTGTATTTTGCTGTTATATGGAGGAAACCAAACACAACTCCTAATTGGGGGAAGCCTGCTTGCATCCAAAAAGGCACCTCCAAATAAGGTAAAAACACCATACAGAGATGTAGATGAAATTATGCAATGTTACTATTCCATTATGCTATCGGTACTAAACCATAGAAAACGATCATATATACGATATTATATTGAATATTACACTATTCCAGTATTGTTCAACTATATCCTTATCCCGTGGTTCAATTTCAGATGCCCCGGGCTTGCACGCCATCAGGTCCACTGCTGAGGATTAATCAAAAAACGGTTGTGATGGCTGTGATGGCTTCCAGCCCTGTTCCTGAGCCAGCGAAGATGATAAACCGACTGCTTGGGTAGGAGTTTAACAAGCCAAACTATGGGTTTAACAATGTTCAACTGGATGTAACCAACCAAGTCAACCAAGTATGGAAATGTGTATCGAAATTACAGTAACATGTTTTAACGATTTTTAACTGGATTTCACCAACCAAGTATGGCAAATTATATCCTAGAATTGAAGATCACAACCTGGTTTGCAATGCAATCATACTATTGGATACTATAGATATATCCGCCACCAAAATAATCCTTGGGCAACTAGGGCGACAAGCTGACGTGACTCTTTGCCCTATGGTGTTAGCGTGGCTGGCTGGGTAATACCGGAACGAAATGGTGGGTTTTCCAGCCATGTTTGATGAGACGGGAGGGTAGCTGTAAATATCTGATGCTTAGTAGGGAATGTATGGGTTGCTGGGGGAATGGGATGATGATTAATTACTAGTGATGAAATGGATCATTCCCACATTCCCTACTAAGCACCAGTAAGCTGTAAATATCTAATCAGTTTTGTTTTGTCTCAAAAGAATCACACTATTTTCTGGAGCAAGCCTGTTTAATTGCCGGGTTGGACTAGCAGAGGGTGAAGAGAAAAGCTGATCATTTGACTATTAAACCATGGTTTTCCTTGGAATTATGTGCTACATGAATCCACGCAGTTTAAGTGATATCAAATTGTTGTCATGTTTGATGGTTTTGTGGCAGAACTCAAGATGATACTTCGACGGGTTTCAACATTCAAAACCTCCAGGTTAGTTGCTGGTCGTTCACCTAAGCAAATGATGGAAGGTTGAATTCTTTACAAAGAAACAGGCGGATGGAAGGGAGGTCGGAAATCCTTCTGTACTTGGAACCTTTTCTATGTTTGTATCCATACATTGCCTATTGTAGAGACATGTGTATCAAGATATGTCGTGTGTTTTGTCTGCAAATAGTAGGGGGGTATTGTCACTCATTGTCATCGCGCCGTCCCATCCACGCAGAACAAGATAGATCCTTATAGGTACGAAGAAGAACATATTCCTGTTTCCTTTTGCTTTAGCATTGCCCTGGCTCAGGGTTGTGCCTGAATGCTTGTACAGTGTACTACCTGACACCTGATGGAAGAACTGTTGAACTGGAATCGACATGATTTTGTGCACTCTTTTGCTATCGTCCGCTGTAGGGTAGTACGACTTCTGTGGGTTTCAAAGATGGGCCCCTAGAATTATCGAGCCGCATATCCTACAACTGGGGTTCGAGCTGCCTTATCTTGTTATATCTGGGGGATATACAACGTAACGCTAAGCAGGTGGCAAAAACAACGTAACGCTCCTGGGTGGCCCAGCTTTCCACTGGACTTTGTTCCCAACGTGGCACCGTGATGTGTCGCATCCAGCGAAGACTTGGACGAAGTGAAAAAAATGGCGAGGGCGGCGTCGGCGTCCCCGGCGTTGTGCTGCAAGGCGTTTTTGAAATCCACATGTTTCCTCTGAACTTTGGCTTTATATGATGTCATGAGGTTTGATGACAACACGCATATTATATGTATCTATCTATATATGTATCTATCTATCGATCTATCTATCTATCTATCTATCTATCTCTATCTATCTCTATCTATCTCCATCTATCTATCTATCGATCGATCGATCTATCTACCTATCTATCGATCGATCGATCTATCTACCTATCTATCTATCTATTTATCTATCTATCTATCTATCTATCTACCTATCTATCTACCTATCTATCTATCTATCTACCTGTCTATCTATCTATCTATCTATCTCTATCTATCTATCTATCGATCGATCGATCTATCTACCTATATATATACTATCTATCTATCTATCTTTCTTTCTTTCTATCTATCTATCTGTCTATCTATCTATCTATCTATCGATTTATCTATCTATCTATCTATCTATCTATCTTTCTCTCTATCTATCTATCTTTCTCTCTATCTATCTATCTATCTATCTACCTATCTATCTACCTATCTATCTATCTACCTGTCTGTCTATCTATCTATCTATTCTAATCTAATCTAATCTAATCTTATCTAATCTATCTATCTATATATCTATTTATCTATCTATCTATCTATCTATCTATCTATCTATCTATCTATCTATCTATCTATCTCTCTATCTCTCTATCTATCTCTCTATCTCTCTATCTATCTATCTACCTATCTATCTAACCATCTATCTATCTATCTATCTATCGATTGATCGATCTATCGATTGATCGATCTATCGATTGATCGATCTATCGATTGATCGATCTATCGATTGATCGATCTATCGATTGATCTATCTATCTACCTATCTATCTATCTATCTATCTACCTATCTATCTATCTATCTATCGATTGATCGATCTATCGATTGATCGATCTATCGATCTATCTAATCTAATCCAATCCAATCCAGTCCAATCTTATCTTATCTTATCTTATCTATTTTTCTTTCTTTCTATCTATCTATCTATCTATCCATCCATCCAAGGCAAACCCTACTCGGACTCGTCCTACTTCTTTGCACCAACTTGGGTAAGTATGGGGCCGCCTTGTAGTCAGGGATCCTTAAAGCCTTCTCATTTCTGTATTTGGGTTCCAGAGGAGCGATTTGGGATCTTCTATTCGGCTATTCGGCTATTCCTAATGATGGTGGCTAGAGCATCTGGTTTCAGTTTCTGTGGCCTTGGTTAAAGAAACTCATGCACCACCATGGGTTGACTCACATCTTGGCGATGTTTTTTTCGCCTGGACACCTGGGTGGAAGAGTTCATCCCAGTTAGTTCAGTAGCGTAGGATGAGTTACGAGTTACAACTGGAAACTGGCCTTTGACCTTTCGGGTGAACTATCGAGTTGTCCCATAAATATAAATATTGATATTCGCTGGGGCTGACCATTTGCATTGATTGTTCTCCACTTTTGCAGGGAAAGCAGGAAGTGCACTGTGTTACCTTGATTCTGACTTGGTCAGGCCCAAGAAGAAGACATCCTTGAAGGCAAAGAGCAGCAAGAGCAAGAGGTGCATTAACAATTGAATGGGATGCCCTCCCGAAAGACAACCACAGATTTCGGATTTCAAGTCCAAACTTTGAGAATGACGATGGCCCCGCTTATTTTTTGAGATTCCTTTGGCGGGGATGCATTTAAAATTCCATGATGGGCCGTTTTCCTTTTTGTGCCAGGACATGCCATTCAGAATGGCAAGGGCACAGTGAATCATTTGGTGATGCGTCAATGCTATTTTCATAGCCCCTGCGAAGTACCAGCTAACACATACTCCAACACTGTATCCCCAGAGGTGCATAAATGCATAGTAGTAGTTGTCGCAGAAAGGTGTTTTCATGTTTCGGAATCGCACTGCTCAGAGAGGTGTTGCCAGGGATGGCATGAATCCACTCGATGCCAAACTACACTCATTTCGGAGCGTGACATCCCGATTTTGTTTGTTTTGTTTCTTTTTTAAGTTTATCGTACCACCATTCTGTGTAGTTTTAAGCCTGTAAGTGTCAGGTATCACGGAATTGATTCAAGGAAAACTTACGACGGAAGTCCCTTGATTTGATTTTATGACGACCCACGGGCTTCCCAGCTTGATGAGTTTGAGGAAAACCATCCTAGATATCTCTGTGGTAGTCTAAGGTCCTTACAAAGTGGTGCCCCCTAGAAGTGGTTTGTAAACCCATCTAACTACCGTTACAGTCCTACAGATTCTTACAGTACGTATACCGTATATTTATGATCATTGCAAACCCTACTTAACCTACTAAGCTTAAACCAACGTAACTTAGCTAACTATGGGGCACGACCTTGTGGAAAAGTAAAATCGTACCAAAATATGGCTTAACTACCTGTCAAGGCCGTTACACATTCCTTTGCTAATTCTGGAAACATCTAAATGGGTTTCTTTGAAACTAGGGTACGCCCTTAAATTTGCTACTTTAACAACATTTTGCTATTTGGCGGGCACAATTAGTGGTAAACCCAATTGTAAACCATCCCCAATATGACCATAGATGGGGTGGTAAATGTCATTCCCAAACGAAAACTTACCCCCTGCCCTCAGCCCCTGGGATCAGAGCCGCACAAGACGTGTGGCTGCCACCTTGGGGCCTGTAGGCCGCGCAAACGGGTCACTGTCCAATCGTGTTGGAATATAGGTTATTCTGTAGAGAACATGAATATGGGCGTCATTGGCATGGAATGTGGAAGATGAATGATCATGATGGTTAGGCCCTGTTAGGCATCAATATTTTGGAGCATGGCATAGCCTCCTTTGAGATAAACACATCAATCTCCGCTGTGAACCCCAGCTGGACATGTTACAAACCTACTGACTCATCACACATCAATATAAATCAACTATAGTAACTCGAAATCCTCCATGTTTTGTAGGTTGGCCCCAATTTTAGGAAGAGATTGCCGCCAGCAATCACCACAAAAAGATGGCGCTCCAGTCCATCCGCCTGTTACTATGGCTGCTGGCGCTTTGGAGGAATGCAGCGCTGGAGCAATCATACACGGAACCTTGCCGTGTTCTAAGAATGTTCTTGTTTTCTCTTCCAAAAACCTTACGAGTATTATATGATGGAATATTTACCTCCAATCTATGTGCGCGCTTTTTAGCCATCCGGAAAAACTTGTCCCCAAGACTCCAAGACAAGCAAATAGTCAAACAAAGGATCTTATTTGCACATGTTCCGCACATCTGAGAGTATTTTTGGGGGGTTGGGGAAAAGGAAATCTTAAACCAATGGATCTGGATGGTGAAACATGTGGAATTTGCGCCCTTTCTGACGGGCATGCCTTGGCGGCCAAGACATGGTGTACGCATGGCAGATCTACTGTATTGATCCACATGGTCATGTTGTTCCCTGAAATTTGACCGCAGCAAGAATGACATTCCCAGGTGGCCCTAAAGCAAACAGGTCCAGACCGTATAGGTACAATTTATGGTACAAGATGAGGCTCCCCAAATATAAGTTGGTTTATAGACCCAAAATATAGATAAATATGATGTATATATAACATACTGTAGTTATATACCCCATTAGCACCCCATTAACCCTAGTTAATCACCTTTCATGACATATATCATAATATATATAATAAAAATAATATTATATAATAATATATACTGTAGTTATATACCCCATTAATACACCATTAAAATGACTCAATTGGGGTCCGCCTAAGAGATATCATTTTTTTGACATCAAAAGCATCAAAGTAATCCATTCTCGAGATGATTCCATTGAATCACCCTTTTCAAAGTATTTTTTGGGTCAAATCCCATGAAAATCACAACAGGAATCACCACATATCACCACATATCACCATGTTTGCTTGTTTTCAACTATCACCTAACCACATATCACCACGTATCACCTAAGCCCCCAGGAATACGCCACCTTGTTGCGAGCGCATTTGATGAATGGCCTGGACGCCGCAGTGCCGCCAAAGAGTGTGCGGACCGTCGATTATAGCCAGGCTGGAACCGAGGTGCGAAACTTGACTGGAATGACTGGTGAAGGGTGGTGAATAGGGCTGAACATAGATGAACAATTGATGCACATGGATTCGGATGTGTGTTTTTGTTCCCCTGTTTTTGAGGGCATAATAGGTGAGGTATGTGTTATACTGTTGTACCATGCTTTAACAAAGTTTGAGTATTTTTTTTTGGCTGGGAATCAGTACCGCTCAAGTTTTGCAAACGCATGAGCCGCATGAGCATTGCAATCCTTGGGGATCAAAGGGCAAGGGACCGCCGAATTTGCACAGTTTCGCCCCCACATGAGCACTTGATCTCTCCTGGATCTTTAAAGTCATTGCTTGCAACTAGGTGATCATGATGCTGAAGGGTGCAAAGGTTCTGTCAACCTTCAAAGGGTACAGTGCTTCTAATTTTTTTTGTTTACAATATTTTACAATACCAGCAAGAGCCTACAAACATCTTTGTGTACACAAAGATAGAGATAGAAAAGTGAAATCCCAATAACACCGTCGATAGTGGTACAATTACCCTTCCTTAAACTAACATAGCGAACTGGAAAATCACTGTTTTTTACAGGTAAACCAACTATAAATTGGCAATTTCCATGGCTATGTTATATGACTGACCAAATGGTATCCTTTTCTACCAAGAGATTGAGGGTTTGAGGAATGTTATGCCTTAAGGCATGGTGTTGTAATTAGATCAAATACTATGTTTTCTTCTATGAGGTGTTTTTTTCCTACTGGGAATCCGACCGTTTCTGGAAACCTTGGCGAACATAGCATTTTCTTTGCGACTCTCAATGTGAATTTAGATGAATTGAGTAATGGGATTCATAAACCCCAAATTGCGGTTAAATTGGGTGAAGATACCATTTATCATCATATATATATATATCATCAATTATCGTAGATTATCACTAAGTTTGGGGAGTACTCCATCTAATTTAACTAGTAATCATAGATGATCACTATAGTAAATTTATCACTATATCATTTATCATAGATAATCAATCACTACATAGTATCATCATCATCATCATCATCATCTTATATACATATATATATATAATTATAGAGATTTTCTTTTTTCAAAGAGTATCACTAAGTTTGGGGAGTACTGCCCCAGTAAACCATCGTTAAACAACTGGCCTTTTCGGCCGATGAAAAAAAACCTGGCCGCCACGATGCCAAGAGGAATGAGCATTCGATTCTTCAAGGTCCAAGGCGTGTCTTTTTTCGCGCTTTGGCGTGACGGGTTTAACGTGACTTCAGAACCGAAATGATGGTTATAGATGTTTATAGTTATGAATTATGAACTGTTATGAACTGTGAAAAAAGTTGGTTATAGTAAGTTATATGTTTCTGAGTTATGAACTAGTTATAACTATTAAAGTTATGGCCCTTCACAGTTATGGGATGGTAACACTATTAGAACTCCTATAACAAAGATTGTATATCATTATAATCCCAGTTATGACTATTAAGGCCATAACTGTAGTGTATATATTATGGTATTCGGTATTTGTATATAGTAATTTCTATGAAACTTCCAATTTTTGCCTTCCAAGGTAAGGGTAACTATCCCAAACTATTCCTATTCTAGCTGGGTGAAGTTACATGAGAATTGATATAGTTATCCAGATGAATGTGTTGGAGCAGCTTTAAGGCTGGGTAGGTTCGATTTATCTGGTGGTTTCAAAGACATATTGATTCATATCGATCTGCTCCGTCCCATGCCTACACAAATTTTCCAGCGTACAATGTTGTGGACTCAATCGTCAACAAGCATACAATTCTTAGAGGTCCAAGACGCCCCCTAGCTGGTAGAATAAGCCATGTCTATCTTGCCCGGATTTGGTTTCCGAACACTTAGATATCCCCGTTTTGTCATGAGAGTATTCTCATCTCCATCCAAAATTGTCATTTTGGGTGTTATACGGTTATAGTCATACCTTGTTATACTGGGCTCACCCACAAATATATCTAAAAGTGATATCCCAAAGTATCTCCCCATTTTCCTGGTTGAATCCCACGCGCGAACTCGCCGCGCACTGCGCTACTGATGGGTTCGTGGTGAGTGTTCATCTTACGCATGTGAATATGTAGAAGTGTAAGTATATAATTATGTATATAATTGTATTTGTTTACATTTGTATATATATATAATATATATATATTCATCCTGAAGTAGATAGAGTATGGAATTTCCGAACATATTGGCATTTCGATGGAGGTTTCTTGACATTTCCAGATTTTATATTCACTATATTCAGTATTCCATCTACTTCAGCATCATAAATTTTTCGTATGTGGATGTATTGTTACGACATGTGTACGTACGATACCTGTTATGTTTCGACACGGCAGGTGTGTCTGCCTCAGAGGGGCAAATGCGTTTGAAGGTTTGGGTCCGAATGACCTGGAAGCTGCGGCGCTGGCAAAACGGGCATCGGCTCTGGTGACCAGAAATCTGGGGAGTTTCCAATCACAAAGATCATAGAATTGGATGATGGGAAAAACCCATGGGTTTCCTGTAAATTTTCCACCATTTATGGATGATTTGGATGATTTGGATTGGATGGGGATGAGTCATAGAATTGGATGATGGGAAAATTTTAACCGGAAAGCCCGATCAATTTGATGGTAAAAACCCATGGGTTTCCGGTTAAGATTTTCCCTTAAACCAATCCAATGACAAAGTGGCTATTCTTTAGTTTTTTTTGCAGATAACCAGGAGATTCAGAGGCCACTTGGAACAACATAGAGGAGAATCATTTAAGCGAAACTGGTTGGTGGTTTGGAACATTTGGATTATGTTTCCATGTATTGGGAATAATAATCCCAACTGACTTTCATATTTTTCAGAGGGGTAGGTATACCACCAACCAGGTAAGAGGTTTTTTGGGGGGGGGATTAAGTTCTCATAGTAAAAACACATAGATGGATGAACCTAGCCGAGGCGGATAAAGCCACGTAGAACCTCGGGGTTCGCTTGCGCGCAAGCGCTGGTTGAAGGGTGCCACTTTCAGACTAAGAATTAACATCAATATACTGTAATAATATGGTTTAAAGATGTTTAAAGGCATGTTAATATGGACATTAAATATGGCAGATATGTTATTAGTTATTTCCCCGTTATGATAGAATACGTATGGGATATATTGTTTTATCTAATCATTTAATAGGCATAACGGCATAATGATGGAATAAGAATGGACTAATTGACTAATAAAGGAATCTGAATGGATTTACCTTCTGGTGTAACGTGGCGATTGTACAGGGAGATCCCCAAACTACAGTGGTGGATCAATGGTCATTTCAGGTACTCAAATTGGGGGTACTGTAACATATAAAGCCAGACTTTGGGGCATAGATCCCCTTGCATAGACCTTATATGTGTATTAATATTATTAATTGAGGTTCCTGAAATGGCCAGTGAGTGGAGATTGACTCAAACCAAGATTGCCTATGCTCTAAAGTCCGTAAGTTTGCAGTGTTCCCGGAGGGTTCTTTCCTAGAGTCCTAGAGTTGAGCAGATGGTAATTCCGGATGTGTGTTTTTTTTTCCTGCTGGACACACCTGTGTTTGGGTTGGTCAAAACCTTGGTTGAATCAATTCATTGAGAAAACATGTTCTTTGCTGTTGCCTGCTTGTTGCTACAGTGCGGTCTCATTGCCTACATGTGCTGCAAGTTGTTTTGGGTATGCAATATCTATACATATACGTATATATATATACATATATACATACATAGAGAGATATAGCATGCGTAGGTTGATGGATCGATGAAGGAACTAGACAGATGGGTTGAGATATGTTGAATCTAAACATATTTAGAATATCGCACCACCAACAAAGACCCAGCGTATAACATGCGATACATGGACAGACAAAGCCTAACCTTGTTGTTTCGGTGACATAAGCTGCAATTTTCTTCCCCCGTGAATTGATCTCCCTATGGATCCAGCCATGATGTGGGACATTTGGGATGAACATCGGTTGGAAATGCCCATCTTAAACCATGAGAAATCCCATGGGTTTCCGGTGAAGATTTCCCCGAAAAAAAGTCCCATGGATTTGCTCCGAAATCTCGGCTTCTTAGGAGCGATCTAAGATTGGCTTGGGACCCTGCAGCTTTCGGCCCCTTGGTGCTGAAATTGAGCATGGCAACTTTCCATGTGAAGTTCCATTCATGTTGCAATAAATCATGTTAAAAGTTCTAACCTAAGTCGGATTTATTGGTTTTTAGGTGGCGTTTGACTTATATTATGCCCGCTTTATTGCGGCTTCACCCCATCAGAAGGTTGTACAGAACCTATGTTTTTCATTGTTTTTCTTTTTTTTCACCATTCATATCGGTGATTTATAGGACATAGGGATGTATAGGGTTGCTAGGTACTCGTACCCGGAAAGCATGGTCGTTTGATTCATATTTCTGCTTGTTTCCATTGATAAATCCCCACTTAATGGATAAGAAAATGAAGTAATCTCATCCCCCTAATCGAAGGATTTTTTAGAAGTCAAACTTCCGACAATATGGACAGATGAAAAAGCAGAGGTGGGAAGAGTCAGAGAAGAGAAGAGAAGAAGAGAGAAGATCAGACAGAGAAGAGAAAGAGTCAGCAGAAAGAAGATGCAGGTGTGCGAAAAGGTAGAAAAGTGGCAAACCACTGTGTTTTTCCAATGATTTGGGGCTCCGGAGGTCGAAAGTAGGCTCGCTAAAGCGGCGGGTGCCGAGCCATCTGGCCAGATGAGAGATGAAAAATTGCACGCCGCTGTGGCGCGAAGCACATTTCGAAGTCAAAATGTACAAAGCACACCATCCTGGGAGCACTTTTGGAAGTTGACATGTCGAAAAAATGCAAGCTGTTGTGGCGCGAAGCACATTTCCAAGAAAATGCACGAAACACCTCAGTGTCGGACCACTTTTGGAAGTTGACATGTCGAAAAAGTGCAAGCTGTTGTGGCGCGAAGCATATTTCCAAATCAAAATGTTAAAAGCGCCACATGCTCGGACCACTTTGAAGGTTAGCTAGGTTCAAGATAGGTGGTAGAGGCCTTAAGTAAGATCCAAACATGTCTGGTACGTACGGCTGGTAGGTTTGGTTTTCTTGGTACGGTACGGTTGGTACATGTGGTACGGTACGGTTGGTGCGGTTGGTACGCTTGATAAGGTACGTTTGGTACGCTTACCAACCTTGACCCCCCCCCTTGACCCCCCTTGACCCCCCCCTTAATCTGGTACGGTACGGTGGTACGGTTTCACTGGTACGGTTGGTACGGTCGGTACGGTTGGTAAGCGTACCAAACGTACCTTACTAAGCGTACCAAGCGTACCTACCCAAAGCGTACCAAGCGTACCAAGCGCACCAAGCGTACCAAGCGTACCAAGCGTAGCGTACCTATCTTATAGCTGGATATCAAGCACCTATCTTGAACTTAGATAATTTGAAGGTTCAGATGTGGTTTTGCGTGGCGGGGGCAAGGGATTCTGCACCTCACCAAAAGTGAGCAAAACGTGAGAGTTTTGTAACTTTGTACCATTTCCAAAAACGAGGGCAGGCGTGGGACATTTGCAGAGGTTCTGGAAAGATGCTTTTCGCGTGGCAGACAGGGTACACAAGACATGTTCATCAGAGATGTTAGGGGGTCAGGGCGCTGATTTCCTGAGAGGGGTTGCATTTTGGAGCATCAGATCTTCAGGTTTGCTAGGATGATTCTGCGTGACAGGTGCAGCACTTCGTATGACTTTGCAACACTTTTTCGTAGCAGGTGCAACACTTTAGACAGATGCAGTGGAAAAAATCACAAAACGCATTGGTACGAGGCCATCAGCTCTGCACTCAACTTTCCATTTTTGAAGGAGGTCTGGCAGAATTGCTTCGTTCTTGATGTGGTCAACTTCGAAAATTGAGGAAGTCTCCCAGAATTGCATTGACGTCGTCAAGTTAAAACATTGAGGAGATCTTGCAGAATTGCTGCGTTTTTGATGCTGTCAAGTGCAAACAGTGAGGATGTCTCGCAGAATAGCTTCGTTTTCAAGCTTGCAGATAGACAGATAGATGGATAGACAGATAAGATTGCTAGATAGACGACAGACAGACAGATAGAGAGATGAACAGATAGACAGATAGATAAACAGATATATAGATAGACTGATAGATAGACAACTGCAACAACTACACTTCAACTACAAAAGCAACTACAACTACAGCTTCAACTACACTTCAACTACAACTACAACTACAATTACCATTGCACAACACTACAACTACAACCACAGCTACAACTACTACAACTACATCACAACTGTAAATGCAACTACAACTGCAACTACACCTTCAACTACTCTACGCTACAGCTACAACTATACTACAACTACCACTACGCTAAACTACAGCTACAACTACAACTACAACTACAGCTACAGCTACAACTACTACTACAACTACTGCAACTACTTCAATTACTACAACTTCAGCTTCAGCTACACTTCAATTACAGCTACAGTTAGCATTACACAACACTACAACCACAACTACCAATACAACTGCAACTACAACATTACAACTTCAAGAACATCAACTGGTCTACAGCTACAACTACAACTACATTGCACTTCGCTACACCACACTACATCCTGCAGTTGTGGGTGAGGTGACCACTGCAACCACTCCAAAAATCACTACCACCTTTCGGTCCATCAGTGGATTCGCTCTGCCATCCATGCATCGCAGCAACTCACCTCTCCTATAGTTTCCTATCTTTGAAACTTCCGCCACCGCCTTGTGCGGTACTACTGGTAGCCCGGTTAACATCTATACCATTGTATCATATCACATATCCAAACAGTATTTTCATGACATTACTATTAATATTAGAGGTTCATACCAAACTTGCCCCTTCATGGAGGTTTATTATTGCATCATCATTCTGTCCCTTTCACCCATCATGTTTTCAATTTTAACTTTCCATGTTCAATGGTTAACCGCCAATTATCCCTAAATTTCCAGGATGTTGTTAAAACTATGTTATATAACCCATCCATTCTATTTGTTTACCCCCCATACTAAGGAGAAGGGAACATTGCATCATCACTATGCCCCATTCCCAGACCAGTTGTTCATGGTTGCCTCTCATTTTCCGTGGTTATTTTCCCAATTTCCCCTTCTACTTTGAGGCTGCGGTTCCAACTATATAATTGTGAACCAATTATTATTGTTTACCCCTCCAGCGCCAGGGGGAAGGGATTATTACATCATAATGATGTCCCATTCACACACCAGTTGTTCATGGTTAACTTCCCCATTTACTGCACCCCCGTATGTTCAAGGTGTTTTTCAACAAGGTTAAGCCTTCCGTTGTGGTTCAACCCCCCACATTAGGTTTGAAGGGCTTATTGCATCAAAAAATATCATTAAGTATTTCAGTATTTCCAATTCGTCCTTTTTTGTTCCTGGTCTTGTTCCACTAAACAACTTATATATATGTTCATATATTTTCCATTGTAAAACAGCCCGGCCCCAGCCCCACCCCCAACCCCTGCCATGGAGGTAACGTCACCGAAACCACCTTCCGTGCCGTCGGCAGTTCGGACCTGGAGGGCACGGAGATTTGGGTCCCTGACGCTTGGGAAAGCCTTGGGGGTGGGGGCCCCTATGCGGCGATTCCGCCCATTTCCATTCACATCAGCCTTTGTTTCAAAGGGAATAAGGTGGGTAAAACAATGCCATAAACCATCCCCCAAATCACCATTTCTATTTTTAGGTGGTATAAAACCATTCCCAAATGGTTGGTTTATTTTTGTTTTACCCACATTAAGACCGAATAGAAGGTTGAAACAGGAAAACAATAAAACAATCATTCATGCGAGGTGTTCACTTGCCACGTTTGAGTACCAGAGGGTAACTATAGAGAAAGATGACTATTTTTCCCAAAAGTTACATGATTAACTATTAGTTTTATTAGTTGCCATAGTTATCTTCATGCGGTGTTTCTTTATCAACCATGGTTCCTGTTGGTTTATTCACCCCTCGCAACTAAACTATCCCTGTATGATTTGGGTTTTGACCTGCCCCGTCTCAAGCAGTATTTGGATCCATAGGACATTTGTATACACATGTTTATGAACCATACATACATAGTTGAAATTTGGAGATGGTGCCCCCGGACGATAGCTATGTTAGTTATTATTTTACTAGGTGAAGTTTATGGTTTTTGTTTTTGGGAGGGAAATAACGAACTAGTTGACGGAAATTATCAACCCCATGAAGTAGTAGAGTAATACTTATACCCTCAATAAACAATAGGTATTTTACCTTGTGAACAACAATTTAGCTATCATGCCGGGGGACCGGAGGTTGGATGAATATCCACGGTTCAATGAGTTAAACAACGACACCTTGGTAAACCTTGGTGAAACCAGCCAGTTGGTAGAGTAAATCTTCGCAACTTGGTTCTGTTATTTGTTGTGTCGGCCGTTAAACATGGATATACAAAGCTGGGCCATCTCAACCATGGTTAATAACATAGACCCCAGGGTGGATATTGGACTTGGGGGTGCAGGACCCAGTAAGTATTTACCAACCCAGGTCTATCCCAGCCAATTAAAACTACAATGTCAGTGCCCCAGAAAGGGTTTGTTGAATAAGTAGTTTACCTGTTGAGTTTAGGAATCGAGCTGTTGTTCACTGGGTTTTGAAACCAACGTGTACCTGGGGTGCACCACCGTGTAAGCTGGGGAAACCTTGGACGTTAGTGGTGCTTGGATTTTTGTTGGCCATAAATAAGCTGGAGAATGGATGAAAAATGGAGATTTGACTGCGAAACAAAAGTGGGTTTAACCAAACAACCATTAGGAATATTGAGATTTTGCCCAGGAAAAAATCAACACATGCCTTTGTTTTCCCCAAGGCCCAAGGGTCAACTTCAGTTAATGTTAGGAGCTTGGAGCCTAAGTTGTTTGGCCACAAGCGGGGCAATAGCAACCTACTAGCTGAACATGTTTTGATTGCAGGATAGAGGTCGGAACTTGGATATGGATACTTTGCACTTCCTGCAGGGTTGCTACATGGTAAAGCGACTGTTGAAATGAGGCAAGAGAGTGGTGATGTTTTCTTCCATCAGTGGAGGAAAATGACATATCGTGCTGCTGTAGGAATGAGCTTGTTGCATCTCCTGTGATCACACGCTACTTTGACCACCATGCCATGTAGAAACTGGCGTGCAATCCAAGTCATAATCTTTAGACGGTTGGATATATCAATAAGTAGATATATAGGTATGCAGGTTGATTGATGGATAATATAACACATCTATAGATATATCTATCATTGATCGATGCATATATCTATGATCAGCTATTGATTGATAAGTAATATATCTATCCATAGCTGATTATCATGGGGTATCACAAGATTTGGAACTGACATGGAGGGCTACCACCAAGGACATCCAGCTCTACAATTCCAATGAAGGCAACCAGGCCACCTTGGAGGGTGCCAACCCAATGCATCTTGGCGTGGAATCGAAACCACATCATCCATGGGATTGAGAACTGAGAAATGCTGGGGAATGATTTTTGAGAGGTCTGTATATATAAATATATAAAATATATTCACAACATATATAATATTTTGTTTCATTCCTGAAGATCCCCAAGATTTTTTCCAAGGTGGCCCAAAGTTGGATCAGAGTTCTTCTTTGATGGTCAACAAAGTTGACAATAAATCTCAATCAAAACATGATGGGTTTACCCAACTCATTACCCAGTGAGGCTCTTCTGGGCATCCCTTGGGCCCCAAATGCAGCAGTTTACTGGATACCTTTTAGGTCTTTCGCGAAAACGGAGGGAAAAACCTTACTTTTTGGAGTGTTCGGACCTACAGGGTATATATATATATATATATATATATGATCGAGAGACCTTTAGGTACCATTTTGTTCCGGTTAATTCTGATAATTTTGAGAGCCATTTGGATAATTGAGAGGATTTGAAGAATTAAATGATTTAATCCTTTTAATCCTTTTAATCCTTTTAATCCTCCAGAGCCTTTTGGAGGATTAAAAGGATTAAAAGGATTAAATGATTTAATCCTTTTAATCCTTTTAATCCTCCAGAGCCCTTTGGGGGATTAAAAGGATTAAAAGGATTAAATGATTTAATCCTTTTAATCCTTTTAATCCTTTTAATCCTCAGGGGGTCCGGAATTCCCGGCCCAAGCCCTTGAGAAATATATTTAAATCCATTTAATCCTTTTAATCCTCCAGAGCCTTTTGGGGGATTAAAAGGATTAAAGGATTAAATGATCCTTTTAATCCTTTTAATCCTTTTAATCCTCCAGGGGGTCCGGAATTCCCGGCCCAAGCCCTATTTAAATCCGGATTAAAAGGATTGATTTAATCCTTTTAATCCTTTTAATCCTCCAGAGCCTTTTGGGGGATTAAAAGGATTAAAGGATTAAATGATTTAATCCTTTTGATCCTTTTAATCCTCCAGAGCCTTTTGGAGGATTAAAAGGATTAAAAGGATTTAAAGAATTAAATTGCTGGGCTTTTCTTGGGATTCTGGGAGGTCTGGAGGATTAAAAGGATTAAAAGGATTAAAAGGATTAAAAGGATTAAAAGGATTAAATCATTTAATCCTTTTAATCCTTTTAATCCTCCAAAAGGCTCTGGAGGATTAAAAGTATTAAATGGACTAAATCATTTAATCCTTTTAATCCTTTTAATCCCCCAAAAGGCTCTGGAGGATTAAAAGGATTAAAAGGATTAAATGATTTAATCCTTTTAATCCTTTTAATCCTTTTAATCCTTTTAATCCTCCAGACCTCCCAGAATCCCAAGAAAAGCCCAGCAATTTAATTCTTTAAATCCTTTTAATCCGTTTAATCCTCCAAAAGGCTCTGGAGGATTAAAAGGATTAAAAGGATTAAATCATTTAATCCTTTTAATCCCCCAAAGGGCTCTGGAGGATTAAAAGGATTAAAAGGATTAAATCATTTAATCCTTCTAATCCTTTTAATCCTTTTAATCCTTTTAATCCTCCAGGGGGTCCGGAATTCCCGGCCCAAGCCCTTGAGAAAT